GATTGGACCCCAATTGACCTCCTCCGTCAACCCTGCTTTCAAGGTTCTTACGTCCCTTGCCAAGCTGAATCCCAAACTTTGGCCCCCAAATTTCATGTATGACAAGCAAGGTAGACCTTACGGCACCCGCATACAGTACGAGGCCATCTACGCAATGTCCAGGTCCAACAGCAGATACTCGAGTGTCGATCAGCGGATCAAACCTCCACCTTTGGTTAATGTCCCGTGGGGAAGCCTATATCAGCCCTATCAGACATGTTTGTCACTCGTTTGAGTGGCGACTGTCTCGGGCGATTTTGATGCAAGGAGATGCTTGAAAATACAATTGGGAAGGATCATCGTCTGACAGGTTCAGCGAGTGTTGGTTGTACGTTACGTACCTACAGTACAGTCCCGACAGTACAAAATGATACGGATCATCGTATCCGTAGGCTGATTGGCAATGCGGGGGTGATGCAGTATATCCCGTATTCGTCATCGCAAGTCTTATCTTCGCGGCTGTACCTCTTCCAAGAAAACATCGCCATGATATCGGATTCTCCAAGATGGCAGAGTTCGCCTCAGCCATTCAAAGCTTCATTGCTTCCAGTCTGACCGCATGGCATCGTATCGACACAGTGGTAAGCTCTATAAGAGATACTCCTCGAAATGTCGAGCATTGGAAAGTGGTCGGGAGTGTGCTGAAGGAGAGCTTGAGCCAGATGGAGGAGAGGATACGCCAGCGACAGAATTATATGACGGCGTCGGAACAGAACCTCTGTAGAGCTATCGATAGATTCACCAGGGACTTTCTAAACGATCTTGAACAATTGGAGGGGACGATACCGGTGAAGAAGGGAGGGAGATACTGGGTGCAGCTGAAGTTGAGGTTGCAGGATGATAGGGAATTGCTCACGCGCCTTTCTCGCAACGTCCAGATTTTCCAGGTATCTGCTTCAGCACTATCATTGTAGGTGTCTCCTTCCTGCCCTTCAATTCCCTAGGCAATCTTTAACACAAGGTAGATTAGACCCACCTACCAATAACTCCAGAAACATACACCAATTTCTTGAAGGCATCAGCGATGACAACCCTGAGCAGCTCGACCCCGATGAAGCTCCCGATTTACACAAATGGAGAGAAGCTCTCTACGAAATCGCCGACATCGCAGCCCAACGAGAATTTCCCGACCCATCATCTCACGATCACACATCAGAGCAACGCGAAACACCAAGAAGACCATCGGGTGTAAGCCCAATAGAATTGCAATACCGATTCGAGGCTGCGGTATCACGAGCGAAACGAATGTACGATGCCAAACTGCCAATCATGGCGAAGAAGGCACATGACGAAGCGATAAAATACGGTGGAGAGATGCAGGCGATTGACCCGAATGCTATTAGTGTTCCTGAACTGGTTGACATGGAGACTAGCTATGTCCGTATCGTCAAAGCCTGTAGTCCATTTGTGGACTCGTATGAAGCACTTGCCTGGGAGAGGCTACAGAATCTCAAGTCTAATTTGCACAAACACACTGGTCACGGAAATAACGTCGACTTTTGTGCCGAACAGGAGAAGGTCGGTATCTTGTGCGCTGAACTGCGGGATCGAGAGGGAGCGATTGAGTTCTTGAGAATGTCGCTGGATGCATATTTATCGAACCGCGAGGAGTACGAGGACAGAATACCACGAATATCGATGCTGGTCTGCGAACAATACGAGTGTATGGGGCAGTGGAATAACTTGGATGCCTTCAAGAAAGTCATATTCGACAAACTGGGCTACGATCCGGCCTCAGAACCGTATGCTCTCGCTGACACGATACTGTGGTGTCGCCAGCATGGGTATGAAGCTTCTGAGATCGAGGGGAGATTATACATACCGGAGGAGAGCTTTGTCGAGAGCACTCCGCTTCACGATGCCGCCGCCGATACGACCGTCGGGATGGAGATCATCCATCAGCTGATACCTATAGTCTACCATGCGAGACCCGATGCGAACGGTGACACGCCCTTGCTCGTGGCAGTACAACATTCCAACAATCTCGCGCTTCAGGCATTACTACGGATCTCCGGGTCGGTTCATGTTTTGGACTCTAAAGGCGGTACTCCATTACATCGATGTGATAACGATGAGACATTGAGACTACTCCTGGAAGAGATCAAAAAGCCCGTTCACCACTCCTACTCCTGTCCGAATGAACAAGGTTTTCACTTGGTCGACATAGATTCGACAGATGGTTATGGCGAAACAGCTCTGCACAAAGCTTGTGAAAAAGGTAACGAGCGCATAGTCAGCTTATTAGTAGCCGAAGGCGCAGACGTCAATCTGGTGTCCGGGTCGAATGAGACCCCATTGATGGTTACCTGCGAACGATCCGAGCTGAAAGGAAAGGGAAGATTAAGCAAAGAAAGAAGGCGAATTATGGAAACATTGGTGAATCGCCATGCAGACACAAAACACAAAGATGACTGGGGCAAACCTGCTGTTCCAAAGATTCTCAAAGCGAGGGGATATAGCGAGGCCGAGATCGACAAGATGCTCTCCCCAGACTTGACACGAAGATTCACGAGACGACGGGGACAGGAGAGATTTTCCGTTTCATCAGGCAGCAGCTCCGAAAGACCATCCTTCGCAACACTCAGTGCCATATCATCATCATCACCGGTCGAACTCGTTGGCGACATACCCTCGCGACCAGCAGAGTTACCCTTGACCCCAGTTTCGAGTGGTGCACCGCCTTCAGGATATGAGTTGCGATCAGGGGGCACATGGTCAGAATTACAGTTAGCTGAGCTTCCAGGGTCCACGCCTGTTGTGTCGGTTGAGCTGGATAGTAGGCCAGTGGAAGTGGTTGAGTCGCCGAATCAGAAGTTTTTGAGAGATGGGAAGTTGAAGAGTATTAGGAGAAAGTTGAAGATATTAGGCGATCGGTAATGGAGTAGGAAGGGATGACGTGTGCTTGGTGTTGAGACTGAAGGATTTAAAGGCCTGGCGAGCTTGCGATGGAGAGTGACTGAATTCATGAGAGTTACAATACCCTACAGGTGGGAGAAGTTCTTGATATCGGTTGTATGTCGAATTTGGTGATGTGGTGCTGAGTTGAGATGTAGTAGATGGAGTTTTGGTATTGATTGAACATGACACAACGTACCCAGCCATTTTTAAGATGAAGATGTGAGACCAGGGTCAGGGCTAATTCCAGTGAATGGTTCTAGCCCTATATCAGGCAAGACACGCCATTTCACGGATTTATCGATACTCGATGCATGGTGTCGAGGGGAACATGGTCGCATTAATCGAAACCGTGGTAGTAGACCACCGGAAATATTCTGGCTCCATACATAGAGAAGCTTGACGTGATAGGGGGCCTTACCCGAGTTTTACTGGTCGAGATAAAGGTTCGTAGCATGTTGGAGCTGCGCTGGATGCGCCGTCGTAGATGGAGCTCGGTCGCATCAGCTCGTTGCTCGCAAGTTATGGCCTTTCGTCTCACGAACGTCGATGCTCTGCCCCTCAATGCAATTCCCATTATGGCAAGGTAATCTACCTGATAACGAAGAAGCGTGAATTAGCGAGAAGGTAGGAAATCGTGAATCTGAAGCCACGAGGTGCCGCTGAAGCACGCACAGTTCACAACACGTTTCCGACAACCCTGGCTCCTCGCTCGTCCTAAGCTGTTGCCTGCCAATATTTGGCTGTGATGATTGGTTAAATACTGAAGGCCAGGTTGTCTATCCCATGTATATCGCTTCTCGAGAGTCTAAATGGACGTGCGTACTACTATCGCAGACGAGAATGACCGCGATTCACGGTCTTGTCACCCAGTATGACTCAATCGCCGTCTCTGTGATTGGCAACGGCTCTGTCTTTCCTGCCGCCGCACTTTTCATGGTGAATAGACGAAATTAAGAATTAAAATGAGTTTATTAAGCCGCGTCGGCGTCGTCCCTCAGCTGCTGGCGAGACGATGTGGATCGAGAAACATTTGTGAGGGACTCGAGTGGGAGGTCGTCCAGACTTGCTTAGTATTAATATCGGCCGTAGAGAAGAAAAGAAGCCGATTTTCTTGAAGCCCCTCAGAACATATGTTTCGGTTTCTGGTCAGAAGAGGTTGGGGTTCCATTTTATACGGAAAGGATGGAGAGTGTGTCGGAGGGGAGAGTGCGGGGGAGGGAGGGCTAGCTTTAGCTTTATAAGAGAAATGATCACCAAAGGATAAATGGCCATACGACGCACAAGAGCCTCATGTTATTTAAGCATTAGTTTATAGAACCTCGTGATTCATACGCCACGACTGCCTAAACTCTCATCCCTGACTCTCCAATGACAGACTCGCAGTTCAGACAGCATCTCGGCTCACAACGAGCTCAAATTCACTTTTACCAAAGCATAAGGAAGCAATATACTCTCACAACAGTCCTCAACCACTCATTTGTCTAATAATGACTCTACAATAGATGCATATCGAACCATAAAGACTTGCAGAGAATTATGCAACTACCTCGATAGATGTAATGTCTTTAAATCTTAACTTAAACTTGACGGCTACTGAACATAAATACCCCCTTGATTTCCCACTCGAAAAATTCCATCATGGTTACTGCTTTCTTCTTACAATCACATTAAGTTGTTCTGCTGTCAGCTCGTTATTGCTGCATCACTCTCTCGCAGACACTTGTAACCACTATCAAAACTTCGCGGTGCACTTGCTGATATTTGTGAGCTACTTGTAAAGAGCTTGCGGGTCTTGGACATGTTGCTAACAGCCTTTTAGTTCTTTGATGCTTGACAGACCTGCATTCTTTAATGTGCTGGTGAGAGATTCTTTGTACCACTCTCCTATCAAGTCAACATCAGCATTCTGTACATCTGTCATTCTCTTCTATTCTTCTCTTTGCAACAATACAAGTCCTCCTGTCGTCATTAAAGACAGTATCCGCACCTAAGTGTTGGTAGAGGCATATTTCTCCTGGTCTAGTCAGAGCCTTGGTTTCTTCAATACCATGTGTCTCCTCAAAATGCTCCGCACCAGCGGCACTCGTCAAACGTCAAAGCCAAAGTCAGAGCCTTATTTCTCCAAACAACAAATGGGCAACTCAAGAACTGACAACTCCCCTCAGCAAGTCTCAAGTGCTACGGCAGGAGAGACCTCTGCTGGGCGAACAAGCCTCCCCTCATACTGTGACTTTTGTACAGAGTGTCCAGTTGAGGAGGAAGAACCATCTTGGAGCTTGTTCGAGGGAGAATGTCATCATCAAGACGCAAGAAAGTGCACGTTGCGTATGAAGCAAGAGTATCTAGACCAGTTTGAGAATCCATTTGACCTACGGGATAAATATAAAAACCATACTGCGGAATCAGAATCCACTTTGAAGTCTTGGCCAAGCCTCAAAAGCACTCACAGCATCTCACCACCAGCCAGCATCTCAAAACAAACCCCTGGCTGGACTGGTGAGTACTCTTCAATAAATGAGTATGGTGCAAGTCCTGAAACCTCACAATGGACTGGTGAATACTCTTCTATGATAGAGTATAGTGCAAGCCCTGAAGTTTCACAATGGACTGGGCAGTACTCTGATCCTTATGAGTACAGTGTCTCACCAAAAATGACACGGCTTGGCAAGTGGACTGAATCAGATGTCCCAGGCAAGCCAGACTTCAAGTGGATTCTAGAATATACACCAGAATAAAAGTATGGTTGCAGTTTCTGTCTCTCTCTCTCTCTCTCTCTCTCTCTCTCTCTCTCTTGTCAGCAAATTCAGCAAAATACTTTACAGCATGGGTGGTGTCTTTGGTGTTGAGTTTACAGCGTGGCGTTTGTGTTTGGGGGTATAAGAAGGATTCTGATCTCAATAAATGAGTCAGTCCAAAAACAGCGGGTGTGTGTTTTGATGGTTGAAGTGTTCTCAATAAATGAGCCTGCAACCTGCTGGGTTTTGGTGTGGGGAGCATTGTTTTTGGTGTTTCTGGTGGTTGAAGTGGTCTTTTATAATAAAGCGTTGTTTTTCTTCTCAACACATTGATGACTTGCTTCATAAGTGCACATTATAATGGGTCCAAGAATTCAATAGTAATGACTACCTCAGTAATCTTCATCTAAAATCTTCTAATGTACCATAATGTAGCCTAAATTATGACGAAATATTGCCTAAATTACTCTAAAGTTTGCCAATGAGATGCAATGCATCACGTGTCATGCACTCAAAGTGAGGAGACGCTTTTTACCTAGGTAGGCTAGGTACAACAGCGCAACGTACTCTACCTTACTGCAGATTCTTTGAAAAGCCATTCTTAGATCTTATAGGTTCTTAAACTACTCCGACAATGAGTGACCCAGCAGCCCGTGAAGACCTGACCAAGCGGCAGCTTCCTTCCATGAAACTGGCGAGGGGCATCGAATCTCTACCTTCTGCAGCTCAAGCACGTACAGCTTTAACTTCGGATGATTCTTTAACAAGATTTCAAGTCCAGGGCGTTGCAGTTGTCACGGGAGGACTAGGAACCATTGCATTGACTGTTGTTCGAGCACTGTTGCAGCACGGCCTGACTGGGCTGATGCTGCTTGACCTTGAAGTGACTTCGGAGTCTGCGATGAGCAAAGTTGATGATCTCAGGAAAGACTTTCCGGAAAGAAAAATTGAGGCAGCGTCTGTGGATGTAACCGATGAAGAAGCTGTAGGACAGGCCATGGCTTCAACAGTTGAGAAACTAGGTGGCCTTGATTTCCTTGTCTGCTTCGCAGGTATTGTCAACTGTACTCATGCCCTCGATCTTTCACCCAAAGTCTTCAGAAAACTTCTTGATGTCAACACAACCGGAAGCTTCATCTGCGCCCAAGCTGCAGCAAGAGAAATGGTCAAAGCCAACACCGGCGGCCGCATCGTTTTTATCGCCAGCATATCAGCACACCGAGTCAACTATCCACAGCCGCAAGTAGCGTACAACACGTCCAAGGGAGCTCTTTTAATGCTGAAAAGCAGTCTCGCGGCAGAATGGGCGCGGTATGGAATCACTGTGAATAGCATCAGCCCTGGGTACATGGATACTATTCTTAACGAGGGAGAAGGACTAGCGGATGCGAGAAGGTCATGGGCCGAGAGAAATCCGAGCGGAAGAATGGGAATGCCTGAAGAACTGAGTGGAATGGTTGTTCTATTATGTTCCAAGGCTGGGAGCTACATCAACGGGTCTGACATGGTTGTCGACGGTGGAGGGATAGTCTTTTGAGCGCCCACCATAATCCACCAGGCGCTGACACGAAAGGATATTCTATAGCCAGTTAACAAGCAGATATCTATGATAAGAATATCAACGGCTATTTCGAGGCGGGGCTATCACGTAAACGCGGTCACTCCACGTCTGTTTACACGCCAAGTCCGACTCCACAGAGATCGGCCATGAAAGTAAGCGGCCAACAAAAAACAAGTTGATCCAACAAAATAGACACTCAATTCTCCTCGAATGAAGGATCCGCATGTGAAACATTCGGAATTGGAAAATCCCAGAACCGACCGAGGTCGCATCGCATCGGAAGCCATGGAAGTTTAATCGGGGTCATAGCGGCGGAGGTTCCACCAAAACTCAATCCTTCTCAAACTCCGACTTCCCCTCTCTTCATCACTCAAACTCCGAGAGTCATGTCTTCAAGATCGATATTCGTGAGTGAACAAGACAGTAATCGATGAGACTTACTAAGTGAACATAGGGAATTCTCTTCGTTGGACTGATTGCTTCTTTTGTGTACGAGAGGATCAATCTGATTCAGACATTCTATCAGAATGCTCCCTCGCGTATCACCAAGGTGAACAACATCGGCAAATATGAGATCAAATTTGAAGATCAGATAAGGAGTTGTGAGGATGTTTTACTCATCGAGGAGTATCATCTTGCAATTCTAGTTTGTGACCCAGGAAGAGAACGGCACAACACCGTCATGGTTCGTTTCACCCCCATACTCAGCGATTGTTCCTAACAACTGTAGGGAGTCTTTGCGGGAAATGTTACCAACAATGCTGAGCTTTGGGCATATGACTACACAATCACCGATGATCCCGACGCTGAATCCCTCAAGAGGATCAAATTGGCCGGATTCCCTCACGCATCTGACTTTCACACCCTGGGTATGGCGTTTGATCTTGAGACGTCTAATCTCTTCGTCGTGAGCCATGCCGTCGCAGGATCATGTATTGAACTCTTCAATCTCGACATTGGATCATTGACTGCTAGTTATATCCAGACAATTCAACATCCTCTCATCAATGCGCCAAATTCAATCGCTTCTATCAACGGCCAGGAGTTCTACGTCACCAACGATCACTACATCACCAAGAAGCAGTCATTCCTGCTCAGCAACCTAGAGACATATCTTGGCCCACCAACAGGAACAGTGGTTCATGTTAGCCTCAAAGATTCAGACATCGATATAAAGGTTGTTGCGTGGGTTCCTTTCGCCAACGGTATCGAGATCCTCAACAGTTCAATCGTTGCGGTGGCGTCATCCTCACGAGCAGCCATTTATATGTTCAACACTTCCGACGCCACAACGTTCAAAGAGACGTCGAGGATCAAACTTCCTTTCCTACCAGATAACCTCTCCGGGTCTGGTGGAAAGCTTCTGATTGCAGGGCACGGCCACATGCCTGCCCTGGCGAAGTTCACGCAGTCACGCCGTTTTTGCAACGACCCCTTTGAATACGAACGCGCGGACCCTACTGTAAAGGAGTCCTGTCTTAAACTGCAGGCTGTTTCTTGGGTGTCTGAATGGAGCGAGAGCGAAGGATTGAAGCACCTTTATGTTGACACTGAATATCCGTCCAGCTCAACTGCTGTCAAGGACGCTGGGAAGGGCGTTGGAATCATCAGTGGACTTTATGCCAAAGGAATATTGATTTGGAGAGATGATAAATAAAACCATGCTGGCTTTGTGTTATCGCGGAGTATTGGACAGAAAGGTGACGTCTAGAGGAGGAGAAATGTGTACAGAGGTGAAAGATTGTATCTAATCAAGTGGATGCAAAGGCATTTAAACATGTTTCAAGTTGACCTTGGTCAGTGATTATAAATACGATTGAGGGTACCCTCGGGGGGCAAGAAAACAGCGAACCTTAAGGTAGGGTATCAAAATAAACTTAGGAAAAGTCAGTAAAAGTCATCCTAAGCTTAGGCTATATTACCTAAGTCTTTTTGTCATTTAGGATCGAGGTCCTGTCTTTTCTTTCCTCCCCTAGGGTACATGGAATGACAGCCTGTATTCACAATTGGGGACGAGACTGAGCAATGGAGTTTGTGTGACATCTTTCGTCTTTCACTGTCTCTGTATCTCAAGCACCATGAAGTTACGGATTCACTAGGGAGCTAGAAAAGTATTCGACAGTACATCTGCGATCTCATGATATTCTTTCGTGAATAAGTTCAGAGACTCAGGTATAAATTGACCCATTTCGTAGACTTTGGACGAAATACACTCAATTTCATCGTATCCGACCCAAATTGTCAAGAAGCCTCGCTATTATACACGATGAACTCCGTCACCACTCCCCAAATGCTTCCTGGCGACTTCTTGGTTTGCGGCGTTACCCACTCGCCTCCCATTACTTCAACTTCTCCGACAAAAATTTCCCAGAATTATCGTTGTGCTCGCCGGATGGTATGCCAGTGTCCCGGATGCCATGGTTGCGAGCGTTTCATCACACACTGGGCGACTTACCAGTGTGCAGTTTGTTTCCGTAACTGCCCTGCTTAGCGCTATCGATATAGAAAAGAATCCGGGCCGCACGTATTGCTCGTAATCTTGAATTGTTTTAGAGATGCTGGATGCCGAATGCTGGATCGATCGGGGCAGATTTTGCTGATTTAGTTGTCGCTACAGGGAGCCTCGTATTGGTCAGAATAATGCATCATAATCCTGAAAAAGCCTCGCCCCTAATCATAGTGACATCAAGCATTGTAAAACATTTCTTCCTCGATATTATCCGTGGTGATGACCACGTCGTGCAACCTCGCTGCTTGAAGCTGCGGGCAGGTCGAGATAATGATGCCTCTAAGATCCCTGTGATGCATAGTCAAAGTCTCGAGGTTGGGAAAGTTCGAGGCGTCAAAGTCGCCTATGCCAGGTTGGGACATCATGCCAAGTTTGATGGATTTGATGGAGTCTCGGTGAGGTTTTAGGATATCTCCAACCAAGGCTAGACTCCACTGGGGGTCTCTTTTGCTTCCAAACCTAAATCCGGAGTCCCATCGCAGAGTGAAGTGCTTGAGGCCTTTCAGCCATGTCACAAAATTTCTCACCAAGTCGGGATGATCGGCCGAGTTAATGAGAGTGAGACTGGAAAGAGAAAACCGAGAACATGGATTGTAAATGGGAAGCTTGTTGCAGTCAGTCAGTATCTAGCTGCCTCGGTAGGTATGGTTGCAACGTAAAAGGACACTTACATTCCCGAGAGCATTGCTTCTACGTGAATTCGAGGGTTTGCGAACACGATGACGAATCGTCAAATGCTTGAGGTTCAAGAAGCCGCCACTCAACGCCAGCTGGATATCATATAGAGTCAGAACATCGCGATGGTATGATATGTCGTTGAGAATCTCGATGCACTCCACCCGTGGCATGCTCATTCTTCCGCAGGACAGTAGACGGTAAGTGATATCAATCTCCGGGAGCCAAGTGCCAAATGCATGCCCAGAAATGGTCAAGACCCGAGTGTTGAAAAGCCAATTTGTACAGTCCAGGATAATCGAAGCAAACTCTTTTGGCCAAGGAATAGACCTCTGATGTGGTACCCCAAGGCCCAAGGGGGGGCTGAGGAATTCGGGTTCCACAGGGTCGCCCGTTTGCCGATTTCGTCTGTGGACAAAAATGAAGCGATTGCAGTATCGGCGAAGTTGCACATTCTCTCGCAATGTCCGATGCAGAAGTGAGACTGGTCTGCAAGTAGAAAGCCGGGCGGCGCGGCGATCAGTATCACGATATTCGTCTGCGTAGATGCATATACAAGAATAAAGGGCCTCGGTCGCAGCCGCATTGAGCCTGAAACACACCAGCGCCAGAGAAACAAGATCACCGTAGTAAGGGAGTACCGCTTCATTTTCATTTCGATAGCTGTTCGTCGGCGGCGCTCGTTCAGAGGCTTTCTCCATGATCATGTGCAGAACCTCATTAGGGAGTCTCAGGAGGGGGAAGCAATCGCGTTGCGTGGGGATTTCCATCGTCGTGGGGTCAGTGAAATAAATCTTGGTTGATGAAGTTGATGAAGGAGGAGAGGAGAGAAGAGAAGAAAAAAGGAAGGAAAAGGAAGAAAAAGGGAAGAAAAGAGAGTCGGTCCCCCGAGTACGGTAGGTAGACAAGTAAACAGACCCCAGGGAGCAAGAAAACAGCCCGGTGTCAAAATAAATTCAGCAAAAGTCCCCTAAGCTTAGGCTAGATTTACCTAAGCATTTTGATCGCTAGGGTCAAGGTCCTGCAGGAGTTTATTTCCTCCCGTAGACCGGGAAACACGAATGAAGGCTGATTGATATTGGCTCCGTTGGCGGCACTGGCAGGCAGGTGCTGATAGGACAGTAATTGATTGATAGATAAAGCTTATGATATCTCAACGAGATATATCAAGCCAACACACTGAAAAATACCAAATAGGACAGTAACACTGGATAAGAGTTATTTAATGAGAAAGCATTCAAACATATGAGTTGAGAATCAGAGTGACTAAAATATTAGGAACTTCACCTGAGACTTATATTAGTTAAACATATATCTATAACTTTTGATAATGGCCGTTGGCTTAGGTGAAGTTTAGCTTGGTAAAGACTATCAGTCATTATTCCTTTTAAGAAAATCTAGTAGTAGCGCCAAGTCCTTTGCGTTTTCATCTTTGGATCCTGAGTACTAACCTAATGTAATGAGGAGATCTAGGTAGGTTTAGGATACTTTAGAATATCTTGGAATATCTTAGAGCAACTTATGATAATATGCGATGATAGACTGGTAGTTGAACAACAACATACAAGTGCGGGTCCCGATCCCGTCAAATCGATCGCTCTAGACCACTATTGTCACCTGGCTAAGGGATTTGTTTAGTGGAGTGATTTTTCTTTGTGGCTGCTCAACTCCACAAATTCATGGAGAGTTTTTTTCCATTTTCTTTCTTTTCTCGATATTCTTCCCCACTCGAGGACCCTGAACTTTCACTCAACATCCACCTCTCAATTCACAACCAAGACTCTGTCAATCACCGTCACCATGCCTATCTCAAAGAAGGATCGCGTATGTTACCAACTGACATAAACCACGACGTGCGAACTCATCTGACATTTCGCAAAGAAACAAGGAGCACAAGAGGGCCGACGCTGCCGGTACTCGCGCTCCCGTCAAGCCCAACGGTCTCCCCGTCAAGGCCCCCAAGCCCACCTCCATCGTATGTAACTCTCCTCGTCAAGTAGATGTCAGCTGACATATGTAGTGCCAAAATTGCCGCAAGGAGATTGTCAACACCAACAAGCTCCAGCTCGAGGTCCACGCGTCAACACACGACGCTAAACTCTGGCCCAAGGAGAAGTGCTGGCCCAACGACTTCCAATAGATCACAAATCGGTCTTGGGTGTTTGAGGGAGAAAACGAATGATTTTGCTACAGAATGGCGCATGGGTTGAACTGAGGGGTTGCGCGGTTTTCAGTCGTGGTAATGATTCATGAAAGAATGATAGACTGACAAAAAAGATGAATGAACAATCCAGGCGTTTCTCTGATATTTAAACACTGCCTGATCTCGTACTACTCCAAGTTTCTATCTCAGACAAACTCAGTTTTTCCATCTCGAGATCCACTTCGAAAACACCAGGCGCACCTTCAGCAGCTTCATTCGGTCCTTTGCCTGGAAACCTCTCCCGCTTTAGATATAGACCGCCATCCTTTGTCGTCATGTAAAAGGTCAACTCTCTCCCTGCCGAACCATCAGATCCTGATTTAGCTGGCCCGATGACAAAGTGTCTGACTCTCATTTCATCAGGCGGTAATATGCTGTACTGGGTCACAAAGCTACCGGCGTCTTGTCCTGATATGCCATGCTCGAGATCGACTATTCGCTGAGCAACGACCTGGAGCGTATGGCTATTCCAGAGACTTTCTTGCGCAGCACAAAGAACGCCCATTAACCGCAGTGCCTCAATACGAATTTCCAAAACTCGACATTTGATAGCAGCGAAGAATAGATATGGCGCGAAACCCATCTCGAAATGGAATTCAGATGGGGTTGACCTCGCCCTTAGCCCAGCTAGCTCTCGAGCGCCCTCGATCATGCGTGTGAAGTTGGGGATGAAGGCATCATAATCCGTCTCATCGGTGACGAACTGCACGCGCGATAATACCATGCAGACCTCGTATACATGGAAAAGCCATATCCGCGACGTCAACGATGTATGCGTCAGGCCCTGGGGAGTTTCAGCTTCGAATTCGTCGAACGAGGATTTCCACTGCTCCAACAAGTCATGTATTTCATATTGTTCGAGAAGGACGTCGGGTGTAGCTGGCTCGTTTCTCATTTCACCGAGGCGGTAGTCGGCTGTGCGTCTGAAGTGTTGTATCGTCATATTATAAATAGCATCAATGGATGTTTGAGCCTCAAAGTATGAAGAGAAGGATTCGGGTATCGTTGGAGATTCAGAGTAGCCCATGGGCTGTGAGTCGCCAAAGTAAAATGGCAAGATACTCATCCGCCGAAATATCGGCAATAGATAATGCAGCACCCATTTCGGTGGATTCGAGGTATTGATCAGATTCATTCCATGGTGGCAATGTCTGATAGCCACGTCTCCATTAGACTGCAAAACCTCAATGCATACAAACATGAGGCACGTCAGTAACGCCAATATTATATCTGGCTTCTGTGGAATCTGGAGTTCTCGAATCGCCGCATTATAATGCTTCAACGCAAAGACACTTCTCTGGTTGGCGACAGCAGACGAATTGTCCTTTGACTGCAGATTCTCAAATAGAGAACTGATTGTCATGATGGAATGCCTAACAGCTGGTTCATGGTCGCAGAATTGCAAGACAACATTGGTCCAGAAGTATGGGTCGATAGGCCCTGATAACGAAGGAGCCGCAACCCTGCAGAAGAACTCGATAGCTCGCGAGTCGGCCCTGAAATTATTGCCCAGGACGTGATTCTGGGGACGGTACAGCGCAGGATGAGAGTATGAGGCTTGACCATATCCCAGGCCTTGACATCTGCGACCCGCACTAATGCATCGCTGACACGTCGGTTTGCCTTCATCACATTTTATCTTACGCGCCCTAAAGAGAGAGCGTTAGATTGCGAATTGAAGACGTCAATTCAATTGCGTTACTCACTTGCATATTAAGCAGCCACTTCTGGTCTTGTGGTTCCTCTTACGGAGCATTTGCATAAATGTTGGCGGTGAAATGAAGTTGAGAACTGTTGGTTCGAACTGCCGACCTCACTTGAGTGTCGCATTAGATAAGATAAGCGATAAGCGAGTCGATGCGGGGAACACCGAGCCAATTGGCGGCCGCCAAGCCGTAGGGCTGTGAGGATGCTACCTAACGAGTATCAAACCAACAACAACAGCGACGATCCGAATAATCATGGTGCTATGACTGCCAAAAAGTAATGAGAGAAGAGGCAAAAAACATACAACAGTGAGGATTCCCCGGTCGTCACCGACCCGAGTACTAATTCACCGCTCTTCGGCTTGACGATGGGAGAGCAGACGGGATCCCGTATTCTCCGAAGGCTGTGGTCGTATGTGACTGTTGGGGGACGACAGAAGCACTATCAAGGACAATTCTGATATGATTCGTAGTATTGATCGATAAGATATGAGAATACTAAGTCTGTGGTGGCTTGAGGTCCGTCGTGCGGAAATCTCCATGATCTTGAGCTAAGGCTAATGTTTCGCGTGGATGTGGCTCTTGTGGCGCTTCGAACCGTTGAAAGTCAATCATCGCATCATGAGAAACACTTGATATCGTAGAGTTAATTTGAGCCTCTTGTCGTGATATCGTCTTTGCACTTCTTCAAACAAGCTTGAAGGCTGCCGGGCTATTCATGAAGAGCGTCAGCATTGTTACCTTGTTCAACTCAACCCCAAGAATCAAGCCATGTACCTCAGTCTCCATTTGGAAGCCCTTCGGAGGAAATAAAATCAAAAGAATATCTTTCTCCTCATCCACAATCACATTATCGTCCGTCGCACACAGTAGCATGACTCACCCTCACCCGAGGTTATTCTTAGAGACGCCACTAGTAAGCTGATAACAGGGATCTCATCCATCCACAATCCATCCATTTGCCTGTCCTCTTCCCCGCCCCAAGCTTATCAAGTCACTTGACATGCCCCCCTCCTCCACCAATTTCTGCTACGTTGCAGATCATGTTTCCTTTGTTGCTGCGATGCTACCCAATCACTTCGGCATCGTATATGCTTGTAAGACCTCTGCACCTTCCTTTGCGCCAAGATCGACGAGATGCTCATTGCTCCTCCCTCGTATTTTGGGGTCTGAGTCTGTGTAGGCCAGTAGTTAAATAGTAATACTGAAACCTTGAAGTCTGTAATATTGATTACAATCTTCTCTATCTCGTATCTTACCTCCACAGCCTCAAAATGTATTCCTTTGTCTTCCTAGCTATCATCAGCCTCGCTGCAGCTCACGTTCCTTCTGTCAGCGTTCCATCGTGCCCTAGATCAAATAGGATCGCATTCTCAAAGTCCGTACCCGATCAGGATCCCTTTCCCCGTACGCAAATCGACCTCTGCTACACCTCAACTGCCCTCTCCTTGACCTTCACGGCCCTTGACGAAAAGAGCTTCTATTTCAACTCTTCGCAGGGTACAAACGACGACATATGGGCGTACGAAGTCGTCGAGGCATTTATCTACAAGGGAACTAAGGATCCGCAAACATATCTCGAGTATGAAATCAATCCCAACAACGTGACATACCAAGCTTTCGTCTACAACCCAACCAAAGACCGCGAGGAGGGAGCCCCATTCGACCACTTCTTCATCGCGGATCCAGAGGCTGATGGTTTTGAGGCGGAGACGAAATTGAATAGACGAGCGGGAACATGGGTTAGTAAGGTCAAGATTCCACTGGGTTTGTTTAATGTCGATCCGGGATGTGCGAAGGGGACAAAGTGGAGGATGAATTTCTTCAGGACTGTTACGAATCCGAAGATCTTTCCTGATCAGGAGCTTGGGGGCTGGAGCTCGCCCGACAAAGCGAGCTTTCATATCACCAAGTTCTTTGGGCATGTTGATTTTGTTTGAAGCTGGATGGGACTTTGGGCTAACAACAAGATTGTTCACATAATAAAATCCAATTCCTATTTGACCTCGAATTTGAATCTGTGAAGTCTAGAAAACAACAAAGCTACATAACCGAACTAACGCTCAATCTATCCGATAATTTGACTTTGGCACGTCTCGCCAAGCTTTGATGCACCAGGTCAGACACGTCGTAAGCACAGTAAGATATGGTATCATGATTCAGTTGATTCGTCATTATTATAGTACGTCAGTTCATTCATTACTGAGATGTCCCTAGCTAGGTAATCTGTCCTGGAATCATAGCTCCATAGCAATAACATTTCACAATTTCTCCATCCCCCCCTTCATACCCATTAAATCATGTTCCCAACACTTAAACACTACCTCGCTCGGGCTGCTTTTCGGGATGACCAGAAGGCAAAACATCGGCCAAAGTCTCATCGGTACCCTTGAGATCGTCCTCAGTGCTCACGTGGTCGCGAATCTTAAGGAGGATGACAGGAGCAGCAACGACGAGTGAAATGGAGAGAAGAGTCCAGTTGCTGATGAACTCAGATCGGTAGGAGATCTTGCGTGCATCAAGGTTGTTGACGACAGCGGCACCGACGGACTGAATACCTTTGTAGAAGCCGACATAGTTGGCAGATCGTCGACCAGAGTTGGACAAGGCGCCCATAAACCTAAAGAAATTAGCAAGGTAAAATTCAAGGCTGCAACTGAGGAGACTCACCAGTAGACAGTAGCCTGCCAAGCAGCATCGTAGAAACCGTAGAAAATGTACAGAAACATGGGTCCAGCGTATCCGGAGTCTGTCCAGTCGCCTGGCACGAATCCCGAATCGGGAGAAACAGTCTCACGAGTGTAGGTTTTCTCGAAGGCGTAACCGCCGCCCCAGATGGCAAAGGTCAAGACAAACAGAGCAGCCCAAGCAGCCTTGGCACGGGTGGTACGGCGGAACCGCTCTAAATCGAGAAGCCAGCCCCAGAGGGCGGCAGCGAGAATTTGAGCTAGCCAGTAAAGCAGACCATTGAGCGCCTTGGTTCTGGTGTTGAAATAGGCACCGTTGACAGAGTTTTGTTGGTAGACGTAAAACCAATTGGATGAGAAGAACATGGGGAAGAGCAGAATGACGAAAGGCTCAAAACGAAGTGTCTCCCAGAGACCCCAAAGCTCGCTCTGCCATGTTGGGTTCTTCATGAGGATGACGCGGGAGCCATCTTTGCGGATGATGTCGCTAGCGTTGCAAAGCGTGAGAGCAAGGATGGCACCGAAGAACATGAGGACAATGAAACCGATGTAAGTTCCGTCGCTGACGGTTTTGTTCTCCTTGATGTTGATGTTTTCGCCAAGGGGAATCTGCGAGTCGAATGAGTACCTGCATTGAGTATGGGACCAAGACACTTACCAAGCTACCAATAACAGCGCCCATGTTGAAAATACCCCAGAACCAAGCAAAATACTTTCCCTTCTTGTTCTCGTGGGGATACGAGATCATGATGGTACCTTGCGCGGTCCACAGCAAAGCAGCACAAAGACCAAGCCAAACACCGGCAAAGATGTTGAAGCCAGGAACATGCTTGTGAACCGAGACGAGAAGGCTGATGGCGTAGATACCGTAACCAACACCACCGAAAGCGAGACATAGTTTAACACCGAGTTTGTTGACAAAAGTACCGCCGAAGAAGCCAAAGACTGCAAAGGTGGCGTAAAGAGCCGTGTTCTACCCCAGTCAGCACGCGTCACTTAGGGGAATGCAATGCGTTGCTCACCATGTTGTCGGCCAACGTGGGATCAGTTTTACCACCGCCACCGAGACCTCCGAGGGCATTGAACATGCCGGGACACATGAAGCAGACAAAGGCGACCATGCCAAGCTGAATGCGCGGCGAGGCATACCAGGGGAGAGTCTTTCCAAAGAGGCTGAATCGACGATATTTCCATCCACGGGGGAGAACAACGTCGGTGTGATCATGGTAGTCAGCCTCAGTTGAGATGCCGCCCTTTGAGGTAGCGGTTGGTTGTTCGTCGGCCATGATTGAGGTGATTGATGGTGAAGCTCAATTGGAGTTAGCCGTTGAACCGTTGTAAGAAAGGAATTGGGTGGATGTTTTGGCTGGTTTATTAAACCCGTTGAAAAGGCGGGGGTGGAGATGGTGATAATAAAGAAAGCAAGAGACCGTGGCCGTGGCGTGGCGTGGCAGTGGAGCCTGCGATAATGGGTACGAACTGGAAGGAGTGGCACGCGACCGTAAGATTCGGCGATTGTACCAAAATAAACACCCAGACGCTCTCACTCACTGGTCCACGGGCGGGCAGATTATTGAGGGGGGAGGGAGAAGAGATGAGATGAAGGACGGACGGACGCATCAGTGCGACGTTACACCCTGCGGCCTGCCCTACCAACCCCTACAGTACCAATGGACCCCTTACAGTACCAGTAAATGCACGACGCTGGGGGCCATGCCCGTTACTTATCGCGGGGTCGAGATAGCCGTGCACTGATAGGCGATAGGGCCAGCCACCTGACAGGCTCTAGGCATGATCTTCGACCCCGTTCAAAAGAGGGTGGCCACTCAATCACCTTCCGATAGGGAGATAGCCTGATAGTCTAGTGAGATTAGCTCTCTGTGGAACATGAATGCAACAACCTACGGCTGCAATCCGGCCATTTATCACCAATTGCTGCAGTTTCGATAACGGCTGCTACTCCAAGTGCTACGTTGAAGCTATTCGCACCCGACCCTTTTTTGCTTGCTTGGCTTGAAGTGTAACCAACCTCAACCCTCTCCAATCTCTCTTGTTTCCGCAACCGGACGCTTTCTTACCGACTTGGTTCGGCTGGTTACATCTAATTGAAACAGTTCCCCCGCACGACAAACAAACATGTCACAAGCAAACAATCATTCTTCAAGTCATTTTTTTCTCATTGTGCATCGTTACTCGACAATCTCATCTGTAATCTGTGAAATCTGACAGCGTATCACGACGTTGCGTTGGCCTCGGAGTGCCATCGCTTCGAGACGGACGGGTCAGTTGCAAGGATTACAGTGACAATCACAACCCTGGTCAGTTAATGTTTCAGCCGTCATCATGCGCAGAGGGTCAAGCTTACTCAGTCCATTTCAGCTCAAATTACAATGTAACATGCATGCCTCTTTCATGTTCAATGACAAACTACAACCAATAACTGTCATCACTTCAAGCAACAATACAAGCTTACCAAAGAAATAGATTTACCCCGTTATAGTGAAGTATTCAAACACTAGTTGAATATTGTGATGCAGTTTCTGAATTACCTAGAAACGGTAAGGAATTCACGATCACAATTGTATACATTTGATTTACTAATAATTTCAAAGGCAGTAAGTAGAGTTCGTTCAAATTCTCAAATTCTCTATCTAGCAAAAGTAATGCTCCCTTTCCATCCGGGATCTTAGCAAGATCCCATCAATATGCTCGCCATGCCTTCCAAAAGGTGCCCTTGGCTGAATCAAGATGGGGATCTCCTTCTGCCATCTCCTATGTCATAATCCAATATGTCACAACATAACTCCCTGTTCCCATTCCGCATCTCACAATCAAGAACTTAGCCAAGAGTCTGCCATGACAAGATTTACTCAACAGGTTACTGAATCACAGAGCTCTGACTGCTCTCACCAACCTTTTCGTGAGAGGCCTCATCTATTTCCTCCATTTCTCCGGATGACGAGTCGCTATCCTCGAAAGGAATGGTGATTTCCTCATTTTCGTCAGGTTCCGCAATGACCTCGATAAAAATTGGCCGAGGGATCTTGTACAGCTCGAAGTTTGGTATGGGTATCAAATCAAAAGCCCCAACATTTGCGATCTTCTCAGTCATAATCGCTGTCTTGTTGCTGATATGTTCCTGAATGACTTCGGCTGCCTCACGAAGAGGCACAACCTCATGCACGGTGGCTAGCGAAATAATCTTTAGCATGACATCGAGCGTCGGCCCAAGGGGATCAATTCTCAAGTCTAGGGCATCTAGTGTTGACGCGCATCGATCGCTGATGTTGTGGAACAGCGAAACGCAAAGATTGTGCATTCCCATGTAGGGAAATGCGAGCTCCCTCGACTCTCCGCAGCTGTTGATCGGGAGAAATCTGTGTGATTTGCTGCCGGTCTTTAGACTTGGGCTTGGTGAAGCGAATCTTAGCTTTCTTTCTCTCTCCCGAGTCGAGGGGGACGAGGGCATCTGCACCATTATCGGCGGTCGCCTCCTTATATAGGCTAGCAGATAGAATATAAGCCAACTCATCGTCTGATAGATTGGGGATGAGACGTTTGTGGACTATCCCGGCGAATATCATGGACACGGGAGCTACACCCTGAATTTCAGGGGTAAATGACTTGAACATTTGTCGTGGTTCCCTCCGACTGCGTCCTCTATGAGGGTATTTTACAACAGATGGTGGACAACCAAGCTGGATTAGGACGTGTTTGAGGAAGTCGCTGCGTTTCTTAGGCTTGGCCATGAAAAACAGATCGTGCTCCTCGAAGCAGTTCTGAAACGATCCCATGTCCACCCACGGTGCCTTGAGCATCTGAAGTTGTTCCATGGCGTTGTGCAAATGAACCATAACTATCATTACTTCAGCATCTTTGACAAGCCTCAGTGCCATATCAGCCACATCGACTCTGGCATGAAATAAATAAAGACCAGAAAACGCTGGCAAGATCTCGAAGATCTCGAATGTACCTTTGCCTTCGTGTCTGGTTCCTTCTTCTGGCTTCGTACGTTCTCCTTGGGGGTCACAGTATACCAAGATCTTGTCAAAATGCTGGATAAGTCGACAAACACTCTCACCGACGTTTGGAGGACCGAGGGGCGAGCCTGGACGAGAGAGACTGGTAACAAAAGCCTGGAGTTGGTCTCTCAAGTCCTTCGCATGCTTGTAGAACTCCGATGAGCCTCGTGGTAGGTCGTCCCGCATGATATGGAACACGTCAAGATGAACTTGAAGTGCGAATGCCAGTTCGAAAGACATAACATGATCCTCGCTTGATTCAAATACATACGATGAGAATTTGTCCATGACACCACACTCTGTGCGATGCGTGGCAAATACCAGGGCCTCGTTCCAGAATCGCGCTACCATCAACTGATCGACTGAGAGGCTCAGGGTAGCAGCGTCGCTCCCTGGCACTCCGCAGCGAGTCTTGAGAATGCTCATCATCTCATGAGTGTCAAAGGTTCTTTCTGTTGGACGGGGGAACATCGTGATCAGCGGCTCAAGGATCGAGAGTACATGAGAGAACGTGGAATTGAAGAGTTCAGACAGCTGAGAATCGACATGCTTGCCATTCCAGCACTCCTCGATTTGCTGTTGCGAGTAATCCTGTTGAGCAGCTTTCATGCCGAAATACATTCTCCCAACTTGGAAACAGCCGCCGTGTTTGTTGAAGAGTCTGAATGACCGGCCCACAAGTCTCTCTACCATATGGATTCCGGTATCCGTGATCACTCCAGCAACTGAGAGATCGAACTGGCCGTCACGATGGCCTTTCCAAACCCATGCGATCTGATTTCGGATGATCTCAGCTTCCACCATCAGGAAGTTCCAATTGACTAAGGCATCGTCCAAGGAATCTTGGTCTTCTGCCTGGTATGTGGCGTTGTCTTCCGGCATCTGTTGGGGGCGCTCGACGTCGAGAGCGTTCAAGAACTCACGGGATGGCTCTTGCACCGAGAGCAAATTGAACCCTTCGATAATGTTTCTTGGCTCAGCTGGTTCGGCTGACTTTTGCTTGCCGACTTCTTTCATATTGGGCCGCAAGGTTTCTCGGACTGTTTCCATGATACGGATGAAGTGAAGATGGTTTTGGTTGGCATTTTCATCAACCTCAATTCCGTGCTTTACCATTTGAGCTCTAAACGAAGATCTCCGGTCGATGACTCGGCCAATTGTATTAAATAACGTCACTGGCACCGGGATAGTAGGCTTCCGATGCGCGGCAATGAATTTGGCCATAGGGACATAGTCCTTTAAGGCGATAATATACTTTTGATCGGTCTTATCCTTAGTTTCAGTAGCCTGGCTCTTTGCCTCCTTACGAGCCTTTCCCTTGAGGCGGCCGGAAGGTTTGTTCTGAGCTTCCTTATCGTTGGGCTCGGCTGTCTGTGACTTGTAGCCATAGTGATTTGCCTTTGACGCAAGCCAACCGGCAACGGAGTCTGTGTCCTTCTTATACAGTTGCAAGACGCTGACTAGGTTGTATGGGAGCGTTGAAGGTGCCATTTTGAGGGATATAGTCGTGTGATGTACGAGTAGTGTCGTCGAGGGTGAATTGCTCAGGGGATGGGCCACTTGACGAAAGGCAGAGGTTGATGATAACTTGTCGAGTCCTGGTGATTGAGGAAGTTGAAAGTCTAACAGAAAAAGCAGATGGAAGAATAAGACGGGAAACATTATATACCAACTGGGCTCGGTACCAGTGGAGGTTTGTTCTTCGATGCGAACCAGCTGTTCCAGTGTCAGTGCCATGATTCCACCGACAGAAACAACCCCTGGCTTCACAGTGGCTTGTCAGGTGCTTAGAACATCTATTTGTCCCTTCTATAGCCTGGCCTGAGTCATAGGGTACTCAGACGAGAGAGTCACTGCGTCAACTCAGATGAGAACAAAGGACTATCCCTCAATTACACTCGATGCACAAGGCATCGTCTATCTAACTACTCACAGAACTCAGCCGCTATATCGGTCAATCCCTCAGCCACTTGTTCAATTGACTTGACATGAACGAACTCCTCCTTTCCATGAAGTCCCTCACCCTTTGGTCCCCAGAGCAGAGGCACTATCCCTTTCTCAGCCAACAAAGCGCAATCAGTCCAGAACAGAGCACCGCCAATGACCGCATCTTTACCAGTGACACTACCTACAATGCCGGAGACGAGCTTGGTGAAAGGGTGGTCTGCCGCTATGAACTGGGGCGGGCGGCTGAAGAAGATCTTGGCTTCTGCCTTGAAGTTGGTGACCTCCTTTGCTACCTTGGCAATAATGTCGTCGAACTCCTTCTGGACAATTTCATTGGTCTCTCCCGGAATTGTTCGGCGCTCTGCGATGATGGTGCACTTTGCAGGATACGACGATGCCTCTTCGCCGCCGGAGATCAGTGAAGCGTGTGCAGTTCCTGTTCCCAGGGTCTCATGGCCTGGGCCTTCTTGCAATTTCTTCGCATATCTACCGAACTCCACGAGGAAATGGCCGGCATTGACAATAGCGTCGATGCCTAGATCAGCCCGTGAACCATGTGCAGCCAGTCCATGGACCTTGATCTCAATGTGACAGTATCCCTTGTGCGTGTGACTGATCTCGAGGTTCGTTGGCTCCGATACAACAGCGGCATCTGCTCTCCATCCAGCGCGAAGGATGTCTTCTGTTCCCTTACTCAAGCTCTCCTCATCGGCAACACCAGTGAAGATCACATCACCACGAAGTCCGAGCTTCTTAGCATTGGCGAGCGCGATCATGCCTGCTGCGACGCCTCCCTTCATGTCAGCGGATCCCCGACCATAAAGGCGCCCATCTACAATCTTGCCGCTTAACGGATCATCGTCGTAGCCCATGATAGTCACCGTGTCAATGTGTCCATTGAACATGATACTCTTTCCGCCGCCAGAGCCACGAACAACGCCAACGACAGAGGGACGACCCTTTTCGAATTCCACCCAATGCGTTTCAAGGTCCCTATGCTCGAGCCATGCAGCGACATAGCGAGCGATGGTGGTCTCGCCAGGTCCAGGAACAGAACCCAAGTCAGGACTGGCTGAGTTGATCTGAACAAGGGTCTGAGTGAGTGCAACTGGGTCATTGCCAGAAACGGCATGGGGTACTTCATAGTCTCGGTTTCGCTCCGTGCAAAAGATCACCACAGTGGACTTCTCATTGAGTCCAAGGGCCTTCTTGTCGTCCAGTGTAAGCCGTCTCAACGCAGCAAGAGTCGATCCCCCACAGGGCCCAGCGTTGATGCCTTGAGATTGCAGATACAGGGCGGACTGGTGAGCCTCGTAGTCTGATACGGTCAAGCTTGCATTAACGCCGTTCTTCAACAAGTCCCATGCGATTGTAGAAGGGGCTCCGCAATTGAGACCAGCCATGATGGTGCCGGTCGTTGGGATCTCAGTGAATTCGCCCTTCTCCAGACTCTTCCACAAACACGCCGCAGTGTCAGGCTCAACTGTCAACGTGGAGGTGACTGTACCCTGTCTCTTGAAGTGAGATACGACAGCTTGGGCGAGTGATCCGACTCCGACAGGAGCGATGACCAAGTCAGCTTTGGTAGAACCGAGCTGCTTGTCAACCTCTCGCATCATGGTACCATAGCCATCGACAATCCACTGCAACACGTTAGAATTGGAGGTTGTGATTAATCGGGAAATACTGCTTGCCTGTGGAACAGTCTGGTAGTCACCGAATGCATGATCCTGAATCAGGATCCCCTTCTCATGCTTGGACGCAGACTCGGCCTCAAGCGTCGCATCTTCATATTTACCCTTTGATACAACAACCTTTGCACCTTCAGACTCAATCAATTTGACCGTAGAAGGATGCATAGACGCCGGGACATGAATCTCAGCTGAGATATCGAAGATGACACACATCCTCGCCACGGCACGGCCGTGGTTCCCTTCTGTCGCTGCGTACAAGGTCAATTGATGAGCCTTTGCCGCTTCCCGAATAGTGTCAAGATCTGAGTCAAGAGATAACCCAAGTTTCTCGGCTATAGAGCGGAATGCGCCCCAAGAAGCACCCAAGATCTTGAACGCTGGAAGACCGAAGCGGTTCGTCTCATCTTTGACATGGACAGCTCCGACCCCGACCTCCTTAGCCAGGCTGTCCAGACTGACAAGAGGTGTTGGCTCATAGTTGGGGAGACTCTGGTGAAACCGATGAATGGCTTCTGTAGAGGCGGGCTCAGGTGAAGTCCATGATTGGGCTTTGGAGTTGAAGTGGACGTGTCGGCGAGTGGTCATGATGTTGTTTGTGCTGGGATTCTCCAACTGCGATGAAGAAGGTTTGATGCGGAGAATTGAGCGGGGAATCCAAGAACGAGACTCGATGAGAAGATGAACGAAGGAGAGATGATGGTGTTGAGATGTTCTGAAAGTCCTCAGAAGAATTTTCGCAACATTTTTATACACATTTTGCAAGAGAATGCGCCCGAGTTAACATTGGTGATGCGCCTTCTGGCGACAGGACAGCCCCCACACAATGAGCAGGTTCATTCATATACATACTCCATTCAAACTCGTGCTGTTCGTTGTCATGAGATTGTTGATGTCTCTCGCAGGACTTGAGTCTCAAGACATCTACACTTTTGTTATAAGTAGTCCTTTGAAGGGTCATGGTTCTGTGATGAAGTCGACTTATCGCATGTTGGCCGCTGTTCAGATGTAGGCTAGCTTTGGTTGGCTCGTAAGATTATGCAGAAACAGGCGATTCTATACGGAGTAAGGTCGCATTTAATCGACTGTGTAGATGGCTTCCTGCGTCGTTCCGCATTTCGGTTCTACAGAAAGGTCAATTGTATTAACCACATTATACACCTGGTGGAGTTTTTTGAACATGTTTTTATTGAGTCTGGAGCAATGAGGTCTGGTTATTGCGGCTGTAAGGGATGGCCAGCCTGGCTTTCATTGCAGTAGCACGTTTTAAGGTCCAGAACAACCGACAGCCACCCCGTAACCAGCAACTGCATTGCGAGGCAGTTAATACATTTGATCACAGCTAAAATCAAAAAAGCTTTGGACAATTTATCCAAGACCATTGTATGACTTTCGTGTGGAAACCACCAAAGTCGGTTCTGATTCAGGGCAGGTTCAGCGGGGTGAGCGAGTGCAGCGCCTTCTAAGTACCAACCTGTTTTTCCTTCCACAGCATTGTCAAGTTGACAATGCTAGGCGTGCAAATCGGTGCGATAACGACCGATCTCTTCCTTCTAGGTTGGGGGATAATCAACAAATGATGACTTGCAATAAAACACCAGAGAATGTCGTTAAGGATGCCCAAAACAGGCGGTGCGCGCTGTCACTTGCATCGCGGCTGTGACTAAGCCTGACATCGCTACAAGCGAAGGCTACGCGTGACGTTATCGCAACTTCTCCCAAAACTCCACTCCAACATAACATCTTCTTCACATGCCTCTTCATCAACCATTTGAAGTCGCTGAGAGGCCACTGCCCTCATCACAGTGTCATAATGGACTTTTCACTGGATGATATTCTCTTCACCGGCGGCCAAGATGCTGCGTTGACTCTTCCTTACGACGAAATTGATGACCCAGCCCCTCAATCGCGGAGTCCATCAAATCCGCTTGCTGAAGGAGCGAACATCGACACCATGCTACAGACCATCAATCCTCAAGAGGCGTTCAACCCTCAAAACACCGAGATCCCGGATTTTCAAATTGATTGGAATGCCGATTTTCAGCAGGCTAAAGCGGCGTCCGAGGCTCCCGCAGACGATCTCAACCAGGACTTTTCTTTTCTCAATCAACCGGCCACAGATTGGTGCATTCCAGCGCCGTTGCCAGCTTCCAATGATCCTGTTAAAATGCCCATGACCACAATTGAGGAATTCTTTGTCAAGAATGGAGCATCATACCCCCCTGTGCCATGCACCAACTGTCGTCGAACCCGTTTGCAGTGTCTGATCTTGCAAACTACCGTAGCGAACCCGAACCCTACCAAGAGCTGTTCGAGCTGTGTCGCCTTGTTCCGCGAATGCAGTCTGGCAGGGCAGAAGAAGAGGAAACCCTCGGAATTCGAAACGTCAGAGCCTGTCATCGGTCGCCTCCACGGGGTTAGCGAGCACAGCATCCTAGGAGTACCTGCGACAGTTGATGAAGGTCAATCATCGCAGGGCCTTACAATGGCAGCACTGTCGGGCAAAAGAGCGAATACTCGATCAGTGCGAAAGACGAGGGTGCTGCGAAATTGGTACCTTTCCAATCTGGACCATCCCTACCCATCAGAGGAAGAGAAAGCTAGTCTTTCTCAACAGTCAGGATTGAGCAAGAGTCAAGTAGTCAATTGGTTTGCCAATACTAGACGACGCCATCGACTCTCCTCGACTTACTCTGCATCGCCTGGCCGGGGTCGTCAAGGATTTGCACCAGGATCCCCCATGCCGCATTACCTCCGCAAAAACATGTCACCCTTGGATCGCTGGAAAAATTCTCCGCCCGATGAGGAGCCAGCTTCAGCGACGGCGATTCAAAATGCCCTGGCTGCTCAGTCAAGTGGACATAGTTCGCTGGATAGCGACGGGGCGGCATCTGATGGACCAGGGTCATCTGCGAGCAATGACTCTCTCTGGCTTTCTAATCTTCAAGAGGCCTCATCCAACTCAGCATCTTCTTGTTACTCGTATCGCTCAAGGGATGCGGCATTCTTCTCGCGCTCTGGTAGTAGTTCAGTGGTAGAAGGACCCTCCATATCTAGGACTGCATCCTCGAGGTCACGAACAAAGAAGCTCGTCGCGTTCCAATGTACATTTTGCGGACAGAGCTTCAAGAAAAAGTACGACTGGGTTCGTCATGAACGGTCAATTCATCTCCCAGGTCTCGACTCATGGATTTGCGCATTGCCTGTCACGCCAGATCAATCATTCTTAGTCTGGCGCATGAGTGAGGGTGGCCCGCAATGTCTTTTCTGCGGCGAGAACTCACCCAGCGACGAGCACATTCAAGCTCACGAATTCGAAACCTGTGCCGAACGCCCTGTTTCAGAGCGCAAGTTTACACGCAAAGACCACCTCTGGCAGCACCTTCACAAGTTTCATGGCTGTCGCAAGTGGGATGGCTGGAAACCGGATCTGAGTCTGCTACAACACCGACAAGATATGATAAGAAGCAAATGCGGTTTCTGTCAAGTCATGATGGACAGCTGGGGAGAACGAATAGATCACATCGCTGCTCACTTCCGCTCCGGGTTGACGATGGAGCAATGGGTTGGAGGATCCGGGATCCACGACCCCGGCGATATGGGTACCGAAGGCCGGTAGATGAGCCGCTCTTGGAGGTGGATACAGACACGATACGGGAGATTCACTGACCCGGCATCGGTACGGAAGAATGGAGACAATCGGGGGAACCGATGCAGCCCTGTTTCGACACGTGGGAACCTTGTCCTAGTGACTCCACTGACGGCTAACAGCGGTTAAGTCCAGAAGGCCCGTAGAAGCATTGTTCAATTAATTCAGCATTCGAAACCGTTAAGCGAAATGCGAAAGCCTCAAGAGCAACTTTCACCACCAAAAGTTCACCTCAGGTTCAAAAGACCAATGCTCAGTGACTCGAGTCCCTCGTACTCCAGCACCCCTGCGCCGTTGTGGGGAATCATGAAGTTGTGGCAAATGTCAAACTCTCTTTGACAAGTGACAACAGACACGCGCACAAGAACAGTGGACATGTGAAATCCGGAGTTCGGATGACAGCGTCTCATTTGACAGCCCCTGGTCCGACTCTCCATGACTTGTCAGAGTCTCGACCATCCCTTGCTCACGCGAGCCGAGACCGTTGATTCCTGCTTATTTACGGCGGCCTTACCTTTTTGGATAAATTGGGTAACAAGCCGAATGTCACGTACGTATGCGGGGATTCTTCTCTGTTGTTCTTTTCTGTTGGTACTCCTTTTTAACTTGTTTCTTCTTTTTCTTCTTCTCTCACATTTCATTCCCTTCTTTTTTTTCTCTGTAACTTTGTTGTGTCTTGCTTCGCGTGTCTGTCGCCAGCCCAAGCCTACATCTTCAGCTTCTTCATTCGCATAACTGCAATACTCTCTACAAGTCAGTAAAAATAGATCCTTCAAATCAGTCACCATGATCATCACTCGCGCCCTCTCCATCACCAACTTTGTCATTGCTGGCTCGGCACTCAGCTTCCAGGTGGGTGTTCTGTACCCATGGCACAAGCAGCTTGACGATGGATTCGAGGAGCTCAAGAAGGAGCACTTGCGCGTCCTGCAAGCCGTCGAGTCGAAGGTACAGCAAACACGAGACGCCGCTGTTCTAGAAGAGAGCCGTAACAGCGTTCGCGGCTTGCTCGGCAACCTTGTCGCATGGAAGGCCTGAGCGTGGCCGACTTCGGGGGCAGCGCAGCAACAACAAGACACAACAAAATACCCAGCACGAGGCAGATAAAAACCACACATACACAGAAGAAGATAGACCACTAGCGGCGTCTATTTGAATTCGACAAAGACCAAATTTCCTACTACTCATGGCGTTTCTCCCACGTTATTTTCTCGGCGTTCAAATCCTCGGCCCGGGTGGGGCCGGCAACGGTCACGATCCGGGTGGTCACGTGTACCCCTGAACCCCCTCTTCCGGATTTCGACGGTTTCACCCGATCGGAACCATTACCTTACCTTAGACGGGCGCACGGGAATAATCAGTCAGTTACGGCACAGGAAGGACATATATTTGATCTGCTTAGACTATTTATAGCTCGCATTTAGTTTATGGTGTTTGCTAAATGATACTCTTTTTTTTCCCTAGAAGACTGCTGCCTTGTCGCCTTTATGCTCGGTTTAATTGCCGACGCGTGGATGTGTCGCGTCTTGCAACGCGACTCTTAACTTGGTCTTACAGTAAAGTAGATGATGGACGACTCGAACTGTTTAGCATGATGATCACGAGATAAAAAAATATGTTATTGAAGTCTCAGCGCAGGTAAGCATCCATAACACGCCACCAGAATAGCATTAACACGCTACAAGCCTTGAAATGAACCGTCCACCGCCATCTCCCACCGAAATGAGACCGACCACCACCAAGCGCCGAAACGTCATACACGTCTAATCCTCCGTTTAATTGTCCACCTTGAACCACACGGGGTTATTCGCGTTATTCGTCATACGGACATCGAAGGTGCCCGAATAACCAGGCATGATGCGCAACGGCGCGGCATCGGAGACACGAACGGGGAGAGATCTGCTCCCGTTGAAGAGCTTGTCGATGTTGTTGTTGAACTGCACAAGTAGCACGAGAATTCCGATGAGCGCGCCCGTCGCGGCGAGTTTGACGATGAGGTCGAAGAAGGCGATGACCTTGAGGAAGCCAGAAGACGACTTTTCGGCGGTGGTCATTGTGGGGATGGTTGATGCTTGAGGGGCAGTTGTGGGTTTATCGGCCATGAGCACAGGGTATGCAATATTTGGAGGTGATCAAGTGCTGAGGCAAAAGAGGAAGACGCGAGCAGAGACAACAGTGACAGTCCCAAGGCTGGACTGGGAGAGCAAGGCCTTGAAATACCGTAGGGCTATCCGAGGGAGACTCACACCGCAAGGCTGATCGACGGGGATAGGCACTGAAATAAGCTTAACTCACCAAGCTTCCAGGGCATGAGACCGCCATGACAGGGGTTTAATTGAAGCTACTACATATCGAGAGAGCGCTAGATGCTAGATGGTGGTTTCCAATGGTGGGTGTAATGTCGTGAAGGGCTGTCATTTGATGAGCTTCAGGCTTCCTTGCTTTTGGCGAGGATTCTCTGGGGCGCAGGCTATGCCAGCTTGCCCTGTTTATGAGGGCGGCGACGATGATCGTGGGATAAACGCTCGCATTTAGTTAGCATCTTGTCAATCTTATAGACCAACTCAAACTAAAGTCTTGGGACTTGATTCCATTTTCGTATTAACGAGAGCAAACAGCTCATCAAGTCTGAAGTCATGAATTAGAGGGGTACACTACCCATCTAGCGCACTGTGGCTGACACAGGATCCAGCTACAGCACTAACTCTCGCCAACCAGATTACCGCTCGTTGCTGTTAGATCACTAATAGCGGGGGGCGATGCCCAGGGATCATCGTCGCGATCTGCAGAAGCTGAAAAAGAGGCCCCAGTTGGGCAAGCTTTGCGCAGTGGATGTTTATCCAAGAATGTTCAAGATGAAGAGAAAAGATGGTGAGGGTGAGGGAATTTGGCTCAGGCAGGATCAGATTAGCTTGATGACTTATGACGAGATGCGGGGACTAGAGGAAGTAAAGGTGCAGCCATCGTGGTGCTTAATTGAAGATGTAATTGAGGTGGGTTCTAAAATTAGCAGTGATGCCCAACTCGGCGTAACATCCAGCAAATAACTTACCCTGAAATGACATTCATCTGGCTGGGGTTGCTATATGTGAAATTTTGAACGCTCTAGCTTTACCAAAACAATTTGTTCCGATTTCAACCCCGTGCTTCGATACAATTTCTGATGCCATCTCATCTCACAAAATCACACACGGCGGCGGTGTCTCTACCCCTTCATCCCTCCCCTCCAAGAACCGCTGTTGATCGCTCCAGCCAAGACCGTCAAGCCTCTTCCTCATAATCTTGGCCTCCTCAAGATAGCTCGCACCCTGAACATCTTCAGCATACTCATCCATCAACTTCTCCAGCTCCTCGTGTCTATATCCATCATCCAAAGATGCCCAGACCAACTTCAACAGCTCAGGCACATAGGACGCTCCGCATGGCCTGAATGTCTGGCATCGATATGCAAGTAGTATTGCATCATCGCATATCTCGTGAGAATCTTGTGTGTAGTCTGGAAGAACGCCAAAAGGCTTGAGTGTTGGGCCGATGAGTGCTGCTTGGACGAGAAGACCTGCGTGCCCGGAGGCGTACTCTATGGCTTTCATTCTACACGCAGGCGATGCATCCGTTGGGAGTGTCGCCACCATGGCTTCTTCGTAGAGCTTCTTCATCACGAGTCGTTCTTGAGAGAGAATGTTGTAGTAGCATTTCAACTGGTAGAGATATCTCTCAGGATCTCGAAGAAACACGGGTAAATCACCTATTGCTCCGAGTTCGAAGCAGTAGAGGTTCTGTTCGTAGTGGTATGGTCGTGTCATGATATTGTCTTGGACGGCTACGTCCCAGAACCATGAGCCAAGTTCAACTTTCGGATCGCATAGAGCGGCGTATATCTACTCTCTCTGGTCAGCCAAGTTATGGATGAATAGAATAAGGCCTTACCGCTTGTAAACACCAGGCTCGTATATCACCCGAGTGAAGAATCTCGCCCTGAGATACAGCTTCTTTCAATAAATACGCTATTATCCCTCGATGTTTATTGGCATGCTTGTTATCAAGCCAGATCTAACACCGTCAGTGCCGAAACCAATACATTTGACTGAGCATCATCACCTGGCATAACATCATCATCAAAACGAGTTCCAGCTTAAGCATGACCGGTTGATTATCATCACTCAAACAGCTCTGCAAGGACCTCAACGCCTTCCCATAAAGAGAAAAGGTCTTTTTGTCAGCAGTCTTTCTCAGACGAATTGCTTGGAACGATGCTATCATGGCAGAGGTAGTAGTATCAAGGGCAGAATTCGAGCCCATACGTCGAGGAAGATCTGCAAAGAAATAAGGGCCATATGCTTCAAAACCAAACCGATCATCATTAATCTCCATAAGCGATATAAATTCCGCTGTCAGTCTAGTCGTATCATTGCTAGGTGTTTCAGCAGGAGGCGTGATAAGTTGTGTAGTGTGCGTATCAGGCTTGTACTGGTGAAATTTGAAGCGTCTTGTCCCGCTGCCTACGCACTCATCCCCAAGTCTGATACAGCGGCCGCATTTTGGCTGCTTTTGATCACACTTGTCTCATTAGTCAGAGCTTCATCTCCAAGAGGATAATAAATCATACATACCCTCTTCTTTGCCTTTCGACAAGAGTTGCACCCGCGGCTGCTCGGGACACCAACCATTTTGTTTGATGACTGTTCAGAGTTAGGTAACGGAGGTGAGAGATCCCTTGGTGGGAGATGACGGCAGAGAGTGTTATGTAAGCGTGGGATTGCTGCTTGGCAATCGACGCTGACAGCGACGAACCAATGGATGAAGGGGGAGACAGTGTGTGAGAAATAAGCTTAATATTTTATTTTACGGAGGAAAAACACGCCGCTTACCGGGCATCAAGCTGCAGCAAACAGGTTTAGCTTGCCAGATTGGGCATGCGGCAGTTCTTGTACAGCATGTACCGGTTCATATTGAAAGATAAGCGAGGATTCCATGTCTTGAGCTGTTCGAATGCAAACAGGCAGTTACAAATGCTATTCTAGAAATGATGAACCCTTTCGAGTCTCTTGAAAGCCATCATGGTATCATACAGCTCTGTGTATCGTATCGAGACTAAGCACCCGACAACTTATCTCTCAGTATCTCAAATGTACTCGCCCATCAATTCCCTCACAATCTCAATAGCCCCTGTAAAGTTCGCCTTAGGGAGATTCTCATTCACCCAGGGGAGAATCGGATCAATAGCAAAACACAAGCACCGCCAGTACAATGCTCTCACGACGAGCTGGATCCTTGTATGATCCGTGCTAAGCATCTCGACTAACTTCCGATCTTCATTTAACCAGATGAGCCCATCTGCGACTATGATAGCTTCTGCATAGTCAACCGGTCGCCAGTAAAGCGTGATATCGATGATTGCTGGAGGGCTGTTGGTTTCTGGGTCAAATAAGACGTTTCCAGTTAAATCGCCATGAATAAGCTGATTCTTGATTTTCTCTCGCAATGGCTGTCGTAGCTTAAGAAGTTTGTCAAGGATCGGTTGAATAGTAGCCATTACATCGCTGTTGATCTCCTCGACATCCTCGAGTTTCTTTTCCCCCCAAGTCACAAGATCCGCCTCTGTAAATCGATTCTGTCTCGTCGATAAAAACTTGGGCCTCTCAGTAGCCAATCTTACGATATCGGCATGAAAGGCACGGCAAGCTCTCATAAGAATATCAAAGTTTCCCTGGGGAGTCGCTTTCCCTTCGAGATACTCCCAGGCCGTCCAGTCATCACAAACATATCTCATAGGGGACTCTGAAGCTGGGATTGGCCTAGGGACGCGGTAGTCAATAGGATGAAGTTCGAGCAAAGAGTGGCAGAGGGTTGCTATGTATTCGGATTCTTTGTCATCGTCTGAAGGGCGGAGAAGAATGCCTTGCGAAGTTCGATAGCAGAGACCTCGGCCTCCCGGGACGTGTATCACAGAGCCCTCTACACCAAAGGCATCCAGGACATTCGGAGGCGGTCTTTGACCCATGGTAGCTTTTCGTTCCTTGCAGTGAGAAGAATAGAGAAGCAAGGCGATGGATTCTTCTGCATTTATCTTCGAGTTTGACGATGAGGGGCGCGCCCTTTGGCTGATGAGTCAGGTCATTCGACCAATGCCATGAAAATTTACCAAATAACATCTTATAGGGCCTATCAAGTATATAAATAAAGGATTCGAATATAGATGGGCTATAGTTTTCACATGATTGCCAAACTATAATTCATTCCAACCTAACCTCAGTCTTTGTCCAGTGTCAACAATGATATGAACTATCTTGATAACCTTGTGATCCGTAGAAAGTTCGTCTATAATCCTAAGTCATTTAAAAGAAATGATGACCTGCGCGCTTCCATCGTGTATAATATAAATATAAAGTATAAACCAACGCAGCCTCACTTCTGCAATGCAAGTGAAACCGCACACTCAACCGCGAACCCAAAACTCCTCGCATACCAGCCGGGACCCCAATAACTCAGCTCAATGTTATGCGGTGCCGCTTTTATAAGACTCAAATCAACCCTCTCGCTCTTCGGAAACCCCTCTCTAAAATGCTTCAAATGCTCCTCCGTAGCATCCCAATAATGATCCAAATGCGCCAAAGCCATCATAATCGGCACCGTAACATTAATACCCCATCTGTCCTTCCACTCCCCCAACCAAGATTTTCTCAGCGCTGCAAGTTCCTCAAACGGAATGGCGTGGTCGAGGCGCTCAGACTGTGCATAAACAGTTTCGTCTGCCGTTCCTGGAAGAAGCAAAGTCTTGTCTTTTACTTCGACAGGGATGTTCAAATGCGAGGGTGGAGGATCGGGCTGCGAAACATGGCCGCCTGTGTCTTTCAACAGGGAGCCAAAGCCTGATATGACGATACCGCCGAGGGGATATGCAGGTGATGATGAGGTTGCGTGCAGGGATGATGCGACAATTGCGCCGTTGGCTCCGAGGCTGTGACAGTGAAGAACGATGCATGTGCATGCATTGGGCAGTCCATACTCTTTCCAAAGGGTCGGGAGAATGGATTCGTGGAGTCTTCGTCCCCATTGTTCAGGATAGCTTGATCCTTCGGGAATGCTCCCCACGGGCGTAGTATCCCTATAATCCGGTCGATCTATAGCCACAAACGGCACAGAGAGCGCTTCACTGACACCCCTCGCCGAGTATTCTGGGGTAGCATCGAAGTAGTGGCTCGTATAGCACCCCCCGTGAAGTCCAACCACCAACGGTCTATGCTTAAAAATTGACGGCGACGACGGAATGTTGCAGATTCCAGAGAGCACTGTGCCGTCTTGCAGGGAGAGTTTGAATGGCTCCATGGCGTCTCACCAATTAAGCATAAATGATACGCCAAGCAATGAGAATCAGTTGTGGCTGCTGTTTGTCTCGACCAACAGCGTAAGATAAGCAGCGTGATACAAACCAACAGCAGAAAAACACTCGTGGTGGGGTTGGTTGCAGTGATGGCGGAGACGGGCAGTGATCCGGCGACGGACTGTTGATCTCCCGCCCCCGATATCACTCGAGAACCAGGAAATGGGGATGGTCACTCACTAATAGATAGAAGCTCCACTTCCTCGGGCATTCTCCTCAACTTGTTTACGATCAATTAATTCATCATGGCCGATACAACAGACCCCCCGACGAATCCTTTATATCGAGTCCCCGAGCTACAACAGCATGATCCTCCAATTGAACCAGATCACTCACCTCCTCCGACGAGCGATGATGTCGCAACGGATGATGGGTACGCTTCATCCGAGCATTCCGCACAGTCGTCATCTCTAGCATCGAGTGTGCGCGATTATCAGTTCGAGAATAGTCGGCGCTATCACAAATTTAAAGAGGGTTTGTATCAATTCCCAAATGATCTGCCCGAACAAGAAAGAGAGGATATGAAGCATACGGTTGCAGTGCATCTTCTTGGAGGAAAGTTGCATAATGCGCCGTTGGACCGTCCTCAGAAGATCATCGATGTTGGGACAGGAACTGGAAGCTGGGCAATTGATAGTACGTAAAATAATTGAGGCGGAAAGAAGAATGCTGATGCCTTGTAGTGGGCGATGAATATCCAAGCGCCGAAGTCATTGGGATCGATCTCAGTCCCATTCAACCACCATGGGTTCCTCCCAACGTTCGATTCCTCGTCGACGACGCCGAAGCACCGTGGCTATACTCCGAAAACTCAATAGACCTTGTCCATTTGCGCAACATGTCCACGGCAATCAAGAATTGGCCTGCGCTGCTGGGACAGATCTACCGGTAACATTCCCGCCCCCGATGGGTGCTCACAGCTGACATTCGCAGCGCGTTGAAGCCAGGAGGTTGGATCGAGCTTCCCGAATTCCGATGGGTATACGGATGCGATGACGGAACACTACGTCCCGACTTTACACCACCGCAAATGGTAGCCAACATCCGAGCTGCCCTCGCCAAGTCAGGCATCGAGATGCACGCTGCCGAGAAGAATCCCGATAGACTGCACGACGCTGGATTTGTCAATATCCGCCACGAGATCAAGAAGGTGCCGGTCGGTCCGTGGCCGAAAGACCCGAATCTCAAGATGATTGGTCTCTACAACAGGAGTGTCATCTATGATGGTCTGTACGCAATCACCATCGGCCCGTTCACTCGAGCTTTGGGATGGACGCCCGAAGAGGTCGAAGTCTTCCTTGTCAAGGTTCGAAAGGACTTGAAGGATCCTTCGGTGCATTCCTATGTCCACTTCCATTCGCTATGTGCGCAGAAGCCTTTCCACCCATAGACTGCCTTCCATGGCTCGTTGCAGGCGGCATTGCGCATTACGATCACTGCCCTTTTCTGTACGTGTAGGGATCTTCTTGCCCGTGTCCTAAATAATCCCAACCTCCTTCTTGAACATCTCCAACCATTGTGCGTGGTCCGCAGGTGTTTGGTTCCAAGGATCGTCACTGACGGGGTAAGCCAGATGCGTCAAATGACAAGAGGGCGCGGACTTACTCATTGTAAAGCAGACATCGAGCTTGATGTCTAAGCTCCTCATCCGAAGGAACATGACAGATTGGGTTATTGGGTGACATGGCCGCTTTTACCCATCTCTTCATCTCGCGTGCAAACCACGGGAGGTGATTCGGGTCATTCAAGACATAGATCCCCGGACCAAGCCACGTCGGTCGAAGGCCAGACTCGCCTTCGGCTCCAGGACTCGGGGTCGTTTGTGGTATCTTGGGTGGTGATTTATCGTCTGACCAGAGCCATGTAAAGTCATCGAGTGATGCATCGAACGTGGATTGATCAACGTTATTCGCTGGTTCGTTTGCTTGCCAGGTCATGCTTGTGCCCGACGGTCCAGCTTGCCCTCCGAAAGACCAGTCATTTCCGTCAAAGAGAGACGAGTTGTTCACCCAAGATAGATCATGCTGTGCCTGTACACCTGGAGACTCAGTAGACCATGCCATATTACCTGGCAATGGGAGTTTCCAGCTGTCATCGGCTGACATAAGGTCTGCACGCCGCCGAAAGTCACTTATCCAGTTTGTTGAGTTATACAGAAAACCGATTAACCAGTTTGCAACAAACTCGGGCTTCGTTTGCAGTTCGCTTTCCATCTGCATGACAATACGACCTGCCTCTTTTTGTAGTTCTCTATCCGAAACTTCGGACAGCGCCCTCATTCTTCGATCACGCATGAACGCTTGCAGTCGTGACTCCAGTGGACACTCTTCAAACAATGAGTTCTTGCCCTTGACCCTCAAAACAGAAAGTCTACTTTCTGTACTCGATCGAATCGGTGCAAAGCGAGCTTGTTGAGAAATCTCGTCAGAGGACAGAAGCAAGTCTCTGAACCATGATGGACTCCCGTGAGTGTCCAGGTTCGCTTCGGGAAACGTTACTTCAGAGGCAAACATGATCCGGCAAGCCTCCAGTTGTAGGCTTTCGTGGCTCGGCAGACTTCCAACATTGTCGTTGTGATTCGAGATAAAATATGCCAACTCGAGCGTGATGAGCTCGTATGCACTTCGAGGAGAATCGGGTGGTTTGCCACTCGCTGCGAAGGGGAATGGAGTCCCGCGTTCCAATTCAACCAAGTCTGATACACGTTAGCAACGTACTTCAAAGCATTCTACTGTTCTTACATGGTGGTAGAGCCTTCTCTATAGTCTTCAAGATGTCATCCTCAAATCCCCAGTCGCCAACCCAATTATTCATCGTACATCCCATCTTGAAGTGGTTAGCAACATGATCAACTCTATCAATCCATCTAGTCATGGAAGCTTGACAGAATCCACATCTTGAAATGATATCTGGTTGTGCTGTCCTCCACAGTTTCATGGAAAGGTCAGTTAATTTAGCGTTGTGTACCAGGCGCAGATGTTGTTTGAGGTGGTCTTTCCTGCTAAACGATCTTTCCTGACATGCAGATGGATTATGGCCACTTATATGCTCACCGCTTGGGCTATTTTCTCCGCAGAATAGGCAGATTATTTGGCCAGTATCTGGATCTGTGGCTGTTGGGCCGTCAGGGGAACACTCCCACCGTTCTAAAGACAGGTGTAATGAATTCTCATGACGTTGCCAGTCGTATTTCCGGCTAAAGGTTTCGGTACAGAATGTACATTGGAATGTGAGGCGGGGTTTCATAAGTGATGTTTTCTGGGGTCTCCTTTTTTGGATCGACCTGCCTCGACTGTGTGATGAGGTACCACTAATGGAGCCGTGGGAGGAACGTGAATCTGCCGATGTGCTTCTCGATGTTCCGAGACTGCTAGTCGTTGATCTATGGCCACGTCTCCGGGGTATTCTCTCGTCACTTGAGAACGTGCCTCTCCGACTTCGACTTCCTGCTCCTGTCAGATTCAACCTTGTGCTGGGGGTAGGTAACATACTGGATGTGACTAATTGGCCCGAAGCCATCGCCCGGGCAATAGCAGACACAGCAGCCGGTTCATTCTCAGGTGGTGAGTCGACCCATCTCTGCAAAGGATGCATCCCCTTCTCAGATCTTCTTCGTGGTATCGGTGTACCAGCTCGTGTTGGCGTATACTCGGCAGGAGCCTTGCCAGACTTTCCTGAAGCTGTCTGAGTTCCGCTATCTGTAGTAGTTCTCCGTCTTCGGGCATTTGCTAGCCAATTAGTAATTTGAGTTCGGGTCAAGCCGGTCTGGAGCTCCAGCATATTTTTTTCTTCTTCATTTGGATAAGGGTTGTCGGAGTTTCGAGCAAACCAGTCTTTCAAGGAGCGGATGGCATCGAGAGTGAAGCGATGACCGATCTTTGGCGGGAGGGGAGAAGGGACTGGCGGGGTAAGGATGCTGGGTGACCGAGTTGAAGATGGAGATTCAGAAACATTTCTCATGAGGTCCCCGAAGTTGAGTGCGAGTTGATCAGTCCCTGGGCGCTGTAGCCCATCGCGTTGCAAGCTGGTATCGCCTTGAAGCTGGGTCTGTGTGAAGTCGGTGTCATCTACCGTGAGAGGGAGTTGGGTCATATCCGCAGACCATAAATCGTCAAAGTTGAATTCGAACTCATTCTCTCCCAATCCATTCTCAAACGCAGATTCATATGCGTTCGACTCAAGTGTACCAGGATCAAAGTCCAAAAAAGGCTCCCCACTGGAGGTTGCATCAGGAGGGGCGCTGTGCTCCGTATCGTTAGTATCACCCATATCGACGTTATCAACGCGCATAGCGTCTATTTTCGGATGAATGTATCCGTAGGGCGCGGACTTGAGAGTAAAGAGATGTTGGTGAGGGTCAGAGCGACTTTGGCTTGAGACGATTGAAGGCTTGGTAGGCCCCACTTAAAGTCAATTGCGCCCCAGCAGCCGAGCCTAGTCCGAGATCGGATAACTTTATAACATCGAGATTCATAATGATTTGATGAGAATAGCCATTATTGCAGTAAATGCCATTGCACCGAACTTCATTAAAGGCGTGAGATGTGTGGCGGAGTGCCCTTGTAAATAATCCCTGTTCACTACCTTGAAGGTTGCGTGCAGAAGTTCACGAGGACTGCATCAGATAAATAGTCTGCACAACATACAACCGAGCCAATACAATGTTTCATTTCAGCTTATTGTAATTTCGATGATGACGCGCAGCCTTGTCGTGGTAGACGCACAGCATATCGATTACTCACTTGTGGCATCCCTTTCAGCCCATATGACAAATAGATGGCCTCAAGTCAGCAAACATACGGCATCATAATTCGCACGTTCAAGCTGAGTCACTCTCAAGGAATCAGTCATATTTAGTAAGGTTATATAAAGCTGAGTTGTGTCCATTCTGCCAGAAATTCCGAGTTTGAACTCCTCCATCAAGTTTGACAATTTGATCCATATTCTCTCCATCACTCTCCCTCCACCAAGTCATTCTGAATTTAACCACTGTTCAAAGTCTATGTAAGGCTCCAGTCCCAGGTCCAAGTTGCTAGTGTCCCATTTTCCTGCGCCAGTCAAAGAGTTTGCAGACTCGTATTCTTGGACATTAGGAACTGGGGGATATGGAAGAAACCCAAAGATGTCGTCTTTGCCATCCGGCCCAGGATCAGAGGGGGCAATCGTCGTTGGGCCTGTGAGAGGGGCAGTCACCTCAGACAGGACCGTGGACACGTGAGACGTGTTATCAGCTGTCGGGGGCGGCTGACAGATCGTATTCATCTGTATCTGTGTTGGGACAAGTGAGTCACTGTCTCGGAACTGCGTCAAGAACATCTCGTTTCTCGTCTCGTTCTCGACTCTTGCAACCAGCTCATGAGACTCATCCACTGTCACAGTGTCACTTGGAAAGATAGTATCACGGATCTGTCTCCAGCTCCGTTGAGATACGCATTCCTTGCCACCGGTTTCTTTGTTGAGTTCATGTGAAGCAGCAGTCTGCTTCCACCCAAGTTTCTTGCAAAGCTCATATCGAGCTTCGTCAATGACGTAAGCCTTCTCCCTGAGGGCTTTGTTCTTCTCTGAAGGTTCCTTGGGGCAAATTACTGCATGATATTCTTTTTCTCGCTTGAGAGCTTCGGCACTCATTGAAGAATTAAATTTCTTCAGACAGTCCGAGCACCAGAGAAATGGACTGTGACATCGCTTGATATGCTCGCTGAGAGTTGTTAGCATGTTTGAGGGCTACGATAGAGACGGTAGGACTTACTTGAGCTTTTCTATATTTTTGAAGCTCCTCTTACATTTCCCCGGAAAACGGTCGGCGATGACACAGGGATATTTCTTTTCTTGTGATGCAAGGCCGCGATGAGATGTAGCTCTTCTCATTATCACAGGCAGTGAATGGTACGTTTCGGTCAAACGTATGGTCTTTCTCTCGAATCAGCCTTATGTGACCCTCTCTCTGGTGACTGACGATGCCTTCTGAAGTCCTTGTCGACGAGCGAGATGGACCCAGCAGACGATCATTCCTTCGCAGCTTGAGACGGAGCAGGCCTACTGTCCAGTCGACGCGACGTTGTCAACACTGTCTTGCTCTGGGGGCTTTGCTCAATGCAACGGGATCGGAAGATGACGGCCGGTGGATGGTAAGACTTTTTCTCAGCTCTGCAGTCGACAGTCAGACGGTGTCGCGTCAAACAATCGCGTCTCGTTGGACAGCGGAGAGTTGGCTTACCTTTCGTGGTATACACTTCACCACGGCTAAAGGGTGAGGAGCACAGTGATAGTCTACCTCACGGGACGGTACTCGAAAAGGAATAAAGCAAAGAAACGTTGCGAGGTGGTGGTTGCTTCAGCATTTGCGTGAGTAGAGATGAAGAGCCGGGAATTGGGCCTTTGCGAGACATGATGACTGCAGAGCCGCTTGATGACTTATTTTCATCGCAACTACACTTTTCTCTCCCTTTCTGGTGTTTTTCTGACCCCTCAATCGACTCCAAATTGCCCAACCCCGGCCAACCCCAATGCCCAACCCTTTTTGGGTTTGATCAACCGGCTGCCTGCATATGTATGTACTCCAACAGCTACGTGGCTCGGATGCACCGTTGACCGCCTTTTTGGCATTTTATTGTGTACGTATGCAGGGTGAAATTGCGGGTGGTTTCGACAGCCTCGCTGTGTTGCTGTTAAGTTGGGGGCGGAAAGGGAAGCTTGGCTACGTCTGAATTTGGCATGCTTTGCGTTGTTGGCTTGAGGTGACCCTCCACGTGAGTGTGAATGATAGCTCATTAGTAAGTAGCAGAGAGAAAACACAAAATTCACACATAAAAAGCTCGCGATTCTATGTAAATACTCAGTTCAAGCCTATATCCGCCGTGCCGAGTTAATGGAGAACAGCCCACCCAATCTGCGGGGGACTCAGGAACGGCAGCTTATTTGGTATCGATATGCAGGGGCACTGACCCTGGCGACCTATCGAAGCCTCGAAATATATTAAGAGAACACCATTGGATCTGTTGCGTGATTATTAGAAGACCTAGTGCCTGAACTTGCAGAAACACGTGGGGTTAGGCCAAGCGTGGCAAGTCTAAAGAGCGTTCTCGGCCCTTAGCTTAGAGATGTTATAATTCCGTAGGTCTACTAGTTGTATTTATTCCTGATTACTAGTGCCGAAAGACTTCTATTTGTAGGAGATGCTAGTTAAACTCGCCAGCTCTGGTGGCTTCGCTGGACTCACCTGGTCCAGGGGCTTCCGTGTACCGTCTCTCTCACGATGCGTAAATGACATATCTCTAGATGATTTCAAGCCAATAGCAGCCCTAAACAGTTTCATCTACTCTTGCCTAAATGGTCTATGTCTTGGAACGACGGTACAATAAGCCAAAGATCTTGTTATCTACCCAATTCCCCTGTACATGCCTTATCCTAGTACTCTCTTGTACAACTCAGACTCATCCCTGCACCAAATCAGCACCCTCCTCACCTTGAATCTCAATAAAGTTTCCATCGGGATCAACAATAAAGACCAGCGGGTCGACACTAGGCCCTAGTCCTTCGACAATCGCTTTCCTCTCCTCCAGGCTCAACTGTGCAACAACAGCAGGCGGCAACCCAACAGCTGGGCCAATCACAAGATCCTCGGTGAGCTCAGTAAACTTCTCTCCAAATTTCTTGACAATTTTTACATCAGGCATTGTCTCCAAACGCTCTTGTGTTTTCTGGGCATCAGGTACAACAAGCCCAATATGGGCAAAGGTGTTGGGGTGTTGAGAGCTAGACTCAATGTTCTTGGTAGGAATATCGAGGTAGTAAATCTCGAGAAGACCCTGGGCATTGTTTTTCTCACGATTCAACTCCAGAGCGGTTTGATAACCTGTTCCGTTTTTGCCGCCGTGAGCATGAGCCAGGTAGGTGATCGAATATTTTTTGCTAACGTGCAGGGTGAACATTTTGCGGAAGCCAAGGACTCTGGAGTAAAAGTCGAGACTGGCAGTGAGATTTCTGGTAGAGATGGCGAAGTGATTGATGAAATACCCAGTGGTTGCATAATCTGCAGGTTCGTCGGTGCCGAGTTCAGGGTAAGGAAAATCTTGCTGTCCTGAGCGAGGAACCATGTTGGGGATTGAGTGAGACGAGGCGCTCAAAATGAGCTGAGCCCCTAAGAGGAGAGTAGAAAGAAATCGGACCATGATTTTTGTATGTGTTGGAAACAGTGATGCGCTGTTGTCGATGTAGAAGATTGATTGAGAATACTGAAAGAACAACTGGCAGATGCAGGACATCGACTTTTATCATTAAACTACCCTGTCATCTATCTCAAATTGAGCGCTCAATTGATCGAGCTCGCCTTACTTTCGGACGAACTTGCACGTAAGATTGATCCTGTTGAGGTATTGATGAGGCATTGCTGGTGTCTTGGCCCATCGCTCAACCTCGCGTTTGCTTGTAGCGAAACGCGACACAGGCGAGGGCACGATATTACAGAGTAAGCTTACGAGAGCTTCATTATATCCGACATCAACTTACAAAATCTGTTCCGCAAGGATAAATATAATTACCCTGGAATGCTCCATGAACCCGTCCTCAAGAACCCAACTGAATCTCAACGCGGAGGAGAAGCTGATGATGCCGTATTTCACATGTCTACCTGAGGCAATGGAACTGTGCTATTTTCGTGATAGTGGATCAACCCCTAGAAACTGCGCTAAAACTCCCCACTGTCAGCCATGACATTGCATCACCCACTGGAACTCCTCACTTTACGTTGCTGACCGAACAGGCTACGATTCAAAACGGTGTTGACGGTGCAAAAGAGTGTCGCTCGAGAAATATGTATCGTTGATCTTTTGAAGCTTTCCAGGTTTTCCACTTCTGCTGATCTTGCTATTAAGTTCGGCACTTACCTTGAATCTATGCAGATCCCTAGATGAGCAGCCAAGTGTGAGATCACGACTCTGACATCGAACTTGTCATATTCCCTGTACCCACCTGCTTGCAGCCTGGTTCAGGACGGGTATCGCTGCCGATCGGGGAAAACTTGGTGGTTGCAAGTTGCAGGTACAAGGCACAGTGAAGCACAGTAAAGGCACAGGGCCTACAGGGCAGTCAAGATACCGAACATGGATGCGACCGCATTGATCTACTCAATTGAGACACGGTTCAATCACGGTCGCGTTCACGATACAGGATCAGGTAAAAATTGAGAATTTGCTTTCAATTGAACTGCTCCAGGCAATTCCCCAAGACGCACTCAGACGCGTCCGCCCAGTGCCATCTTGGTCAATTCAATCTATGCTATGATATCAAGATTCTATCGCTGGTCTATGCCAAAAAGTCAAAATCCATGGGTTCAAATTCGTCGTAGACTTTTCAATTCCCCAAATCCAAACGCCATAAGCAAAAACAAAGTTCGTTAAAATGTCATTGTCGCACGCTTAGACGACAGCGGCGGCATCAGCAGCGTCACCGTGCAGGACGGGGTTGATCTTCTCATCGAAGAAGCACTTGAAGTCCTGTCCGAGCTCGTTGCGGAGAGCCTTCTTGACGGCTTCCAGAACGTTGGGGAAGACGCCAAAGTTGGCGGGGTTGTTCTCGTCGTTGTCTCCGCCCTGGAAAACACCGGTGCGCACCAAGCAGGTGTTCCACCCGTACATGTTTCCACCGATGATGTCGGACGCGGGGTTGTCACCAATCATGTAGATGTGCTCGGGGAGACGCTCCTCGCCGTGGAGCTCGCCCATCCATGAGGTCAGAACATCGTCAGCGTACTTGTAGGTAGCCAACTCAGGCTTGCCATAGACGACACGCTCGAGGTCAGCGCCGGTGAGGGCCTTGTACATAGCCTCAAGACCGATGCGGAAAGCACCCTGGGACATACGAGGGTAAGGGTGCTCGGTAGGGCAGAGAAGATCGCCCTGGGAGAAGTAGATGGGAACGCGCTCAGCAACGGGGTCCTCAGCGACGGTGCCGAGACGACCGTTCTTTGAGCGAAGGACATCCATGATGATCTGCATGTCGGTAGCGTAGTCTCGCGAGTCAGAGAAGACCATGATAGCCTCGATGCAGATCTTGGTGAAGTCACGGGGACGAGAGGTGGCGCGCTCCTCCTCGGTGAAGACGCGGTAGGGAGCAACGGTAGGGTCCCAGGCGACAATGTCGTTGGGGACGACGATGTTGCGGAAGCCGTACTGCTCAGCAACCTCACGGCAGCGATAACCCTCACCACCGACGACGAGGACGGTGCTGTAGTACTCAGCCAGAGCACTCATGGGAGTGTGAGACTGGATGAATTGGTCGGTCTCGACAGGGTTGCCAAGGATCTTGGAGAGCTGCGCGCAGCGATCCTTCTCGATCTTACCAGATCCGTTGGTAAGGAAGATGTGAGGGATCTTGATGCCAAGCTCATTGTCACCGTTGAGGATCTCAAGAGCCTTCTTACCCTCGGGGATCAGACGATCACCGTGGACGAGAACACCATCAATGTCGAAGGCGAAGGCCATGTTCTTGGCCTTCTTGACCTTCTCAGCCTGGAGGTCCTGGACCTGAGCGACGAGAAGATCTCGGGTAGGCTGGATCGGGGGCATGCCGGGACGGGCGGGTCGACCGTCGGCATGGTGAACGGAGGAGAGGCGCGACTGGCGCTTACGGGGGATAGGCAGAGCAGTACCGAAAGAGTTTCGGGAGGATCGTCGGTCCCTCATCGAGGGCGAGACGCTGAGATTGTGCATGTACTTTGCGGCCTCTGAGATGGAGGACCTGGTAGCGGGGATCTCCTGAGGACCGTTGACATCGTCGCCGGGAATGGCGAGGCTGTCGTGGTGGCCCTCGCCGTTACTCTCCCCGTTGTTCATGTTGGACATCTTGCGGAGGGTGCTGGGGGAGTTTGGGGTGTGAAGTTCGTTGTCGTCGTAGGCGGGCATGATGAACAAGAAAGACAGTCGGTATGAAGAGGAGGATGAATGTCAAGTTAAAGAGAGAGGGAAAGAAGACAGTCGTGGTGGATTGGGTTATATCGGGGGTATCAAGTGTGAGTGAAGGGAAGACTGCTTGGGTATGATGATGGTATGAGATCGAGATGATGAGCAAGAGAAATGGGGCGGGGATCCGTATTTATCTATCTCGAGGGTTCTCCCAGATACTGTGAAAGAGTGAGTGAGATTGAGTGAAAACTCGCCCTTGTTGTTGATATCATCATCTTTTCTCACTTTTCACATTTTTCCGGGCACGTCTCGTCCGTTCAAGACAAAGTCCATGTTTGCTCTTGTCGAACGGCGCTACCGAAGTGGATCTCGGGCGTTCACCGTCAATGCAATTGACTGTTGTCAGTACAGTAGAGTACATGGGGAATCCGTTATCTGGAAGGGCTAGAGAGCCAAAGAACGGACTGGAAGACGACACGTTTGAACCGTTTCTTCCCGTTTTCCGCGACAAGCAGTGTGAAAAACGAGAGTTGTTCGCACGCCCCTAGGTACTTGACTTAAACTTTGAGCCAGCCGTCATAGCTCGGAGCAGAGGTGACGTGAGGTTTGTGTCAAGATTGACTCCGCTGCCCCTCTTAGCAAGTTACACCATTCGAGAAAGATATGCCTCAGTAGATAAAAAGTACCTCGACTCAAGGCCTCATTATCGCTTCGCATCGCTATCTTGGAGGAGCTGGCCGAGAAGAGTCCGCACCAAGTGGACATGCAGTGGAGATGGGCTTTGGCGGTGCCTGTTTTTGCACGGGAATTAAATTGGAGAAATTGCAGAAGGGGTTCATTTCTGACATCATCCCTGTCTCCACTGCCGAACAGGGGCCCTAGAGTACCCAGAAGACCCTAGACTCTGTCGTCGACCGTCTTTTTAGGGTGGATACCGTTACTGAAGAAAATACGGCTAGAGCGGGTATTGCTAGTATTCAGCCTCTCGTCTCGAAACGTAAGGGACGTTCTCAGAAGGATCGCCACTTGCGGCTCCAATTTTCAAGTGATAAGATTACTTTTTTCAACTCTTGATCCTCTGGTTGGTCGCTGGATGTTTCCCTGACTCAAGTATTTGTCCACGTAGCTCTCATCTCCTTGGGCGAAAACTCTACATGCAGTACATACAGTGCCTTAGCTGGAGCGAGGGGCGATCAAGTAACTGTACATGTCGGCACAGAACGTCCACCACAGTTCTTGGCAAAACGGAACAGCCCTGCAGCCTCAGTAAATTTTCCCATCAAGGTGAAAATTCGTTACTGAGAGACTCTCGCATCTGGTCTAGCCTAGCCTTTCTAGAAGTTTCCCAATTAAGGACATGACGTCAATGTCCATCTTGACCCAAACTCGCCTCGCGCGGCGTCGGCGAAAAAAACATGACCATGGATGATGGATGACAGCCACCTCATCAAGTACATACTGTACATACAGTAGGAGAAGGTCAAAACGTACCATCCTTACAATTGCCGTCGCGTAGGTACTATAGGTATAGAGTTTTCAGCATCGGCAGGTACCTCTCCACTGACATAACGTCAATTGAGATATTTTATCATCAATTTAATCCCTTTATAAGCCGTTCATCTGTGAAACTGCCCCTCACTAGTCAAGATTCTCACTCCCTATCTTTCACCTACTCACATACCCATCACTCACTCCCAAACTTCACCCAAACATCTACACCATGGCCGTCTCAAACAAGACCACTTTCACCCTCAACAATGGCGTCAAGATCCCCGGCCTGGGCTTCGGCACTTTCGCCAACGAGGGCGCAAAGGGCGAGACCTACGAAGCTGTCAAGTGCGCCCTCAAGGTCGGCTACCGACACCTCGACTGCGCCTGGTTCTACCTCAACGAAGGTGAGGTCGGCCAGGCTGTGAGGGATTTCCTCGCCGAGAACAAGGATGTCAAGCGTGAGGACATCTTCATCTGCACAAAGGTCTGGAACCACCTCCACGAGCCCGAGGAGGTCAAGTGGTCGTTTGAGAACTCCCTCAAGAACTTTGGCCTCGACTACATTGACCTCTTCCTTGTCCACTGGCCCATCGCTGCTGAGAAGGACGAGGACTACAAGCCCAAGATCGGACCTGATGGCAAGTACGTCATCAAGAAGGATCTCACTGAGAACCCCGAACCCACATGGCGCGCCATGGAGGAGATTTATGCTAGCGGCAAGGCCCGTGCTATTGGTGTCTCCAACTGGACCGTCGAGGGTCTCAAGAAGCTGCTGTCCT